ATAATCTTTAGGAATGTTTCTTTTGAACAGTAAGTAAATCTGTATCAAATATGAGAAAGGTACATTTGAACTACTCAGAATGTACTAGAACATTATAGGTAACTTTATTCTTTAGAATTATTCAAATATTTCTGGATAAATTTAAAATTGGTTTATTTAAAAACTTTCTAAAAACTTTGATATATGCTCTAAAATGATCTCTGGGAACGTTTCTTTTGAATATTAAGTGCTCCTGTATCAAATTTAAGAAAGGTACATTTGAACTACCGACTTAAAACGTACTCTAGAACATTAGCATTCTTACGCTTATTAAAGTAATCTGTTATTCTTTTGAATTATTCCAGTATTTCCGGTTAAATTTGTAATTGGTAGGTATGGGAAGTTTCGTAAAAGCATTTTTCACAGCTACTTTAGTTACTCTCTAGATAATCCACATAAATAACTAATATATAATAAACATAAGAACAACAATATAATTTATTATTCATTCAGTATATTGTATCACCGAATTTAAAAATCTTTCATAAATCAGAAGCCGGCCCTGATCCATAGCAACAGTAAATGCAGTTTAACGGTTTTTCGAATTCTAGGAAAAAACATTTGTACAACTTTGCACACCAAAATACAGTGCTCTCTCATGGAAAATTTTGAGTTATTTCATTGGCTTTAACTCTTTCACACTTTTAAATATGTTTCACTATCGCTAACACAAGTATAGTAAAACATAGACCATTAAACGCACCCATAGGTGCAGGCGACAATATGCTATCTTTCCCTGCAAATAAATTCACAAGAAACATCAAACGATGTTCCCTCAGCCAATCACAACAACACACCCACAATTGCAAGTCTTTACCCTTCAACGCCACAAGACAAGCAATGAGACTATTTCTGATCTCAGACAGTTTAACATCTTTGTTTTTTATTCCGTCGCGTGCTCGACGCTATTTAATAAAAACATAAATCGAGGGTTATATTAAGTGTTGCACAGGATCGCCCTGTCGACTACATTTCTTAAAACCCGAGTCAGTCCGCTAATTTAATGTTTAATTAAAATGGTTCTCTAACAAATAAGCGTTTATAATATTGACAATTACGCGGGAAAAGTCAAAGATTGACAAACGTAGATAAACAGCAACAATAATTCAATTCGTTCGGAAACTGTCGACATTAAGTTCACTGATCCATCGGGTAAATCCAGTAATCTGGATTTGTTAGCTATAGTCAGATTCCGAAAACGCCATAAGTGTCTGGAAATTCATCTACAAGCATCACACATTTCTACTAGTTACATTACTAAGGATGGAAAGGGACCCTTCTTTCAAAGTCGCAGAGAACAAGTCCCGTCACCACTATTCTAATTTACTTCAAGCAACCTCAGGGGTCACATCTAGGGCCCTTACTATTTAACTTATTTATTAATATTATTTATCGTTTCCGTAATACCAAAGCTTTATTATTTACAGCTGACAAAACTGTTCGACCTAAGTAATAAACCATTATTATCTCGTTATAGAGTATTTTACTTCCTAAATAAATTTAAATATGTCTCCATTTTCACTCTCTATTTATATTATTAGTTTTGGCGCGAGACATTTGTGAAGCTACACCACGTCTTTTATACAGGGAGACTATATATCGAAACAATAAGAACGTTTTCTGATCCTGACTTCGCCACACGCGCATCAAGTGTTTTCGCTACTTTTTCTAGTAACTTTTTTAGTACGAATTTAACTCTTACTACTTTGCTCACTTTGTTACTGAGAACGACTCCAGTGTTACCGTTTCTGACAAAAAACAACAATTACGTCTACAATATTTATTGTATATTTTCATTACAGTCATTCTATGTACAAACAAACAAATATCTTTATTTCTACGACACGATAAATGCACAAAAAGTCAAAAATATACGAATTATCCAAAGGATCCCTAAATGATAAAATATTAAATAAATTAAGATGAAATGCACATTTACACTTAACTCAATAAAAAGTAGCCAGGTTAATCAATATCTCTTCCTAAAAAACAAAAAGATTCATTAATTGTAGTTAAATTCGTTAAGTCTTACAGTTAAAAATTCATAAATTATTAGGAAATATCGCTATCAAAGAATTTTTATGATAATACATCACTTAAGAAGTCATTTGCATTATTAAGTTAAAAACAAGCCTATATTTAACCGTAAATAAATACCGAATACGCCTCTGTGCAAGCACGAGGCCTTAAGCTACTGTTTGTTAGAGCAGTGCTAATGAAATCTAAAGGTACGTTCCTGTTGATCTCAAAAACTAGAGTGATTACAAAAAATGGCAGGTATTTTTGGAATCGGTACATCAAAAATCAATTCTTATTCTTTCGGCACCAAGAGAATGCTGTCATTTTGTTGGAATAAGGACTAAGAACCGAAGGCTCAAGAGGGGACACCAGGGGGAAGTTTTGATACTTGGTACCTTTATATATGATTATCAATCTCTTGGCAATTCCAAAACATGCAACATCCAAGTTTGAAAATTCTCCTAAATTTATGGGCCTAAAACCTTACAACCATCTTCCTAATGATTTTAAAAATATGAGTCTAAACATTTTTAAAAGATTTATGAAACAGTTACTGTTGAAAAAAGGGTTATAGGTCTCACAATCAGCTAAAGAGTATCTGAAAATTATCATCAGGAACAGTTACAAAATGACCTGTAGTAATTAATTTTTTTATTTGATACAGAAAACCGTGTAACAATTTTAGATAAATGAGAAGTTCTGAAAAGGGACTGCCGTCCCAAGCTGAATGTTTAACTGATCCAGGTAAATTAGTGTTGTTCATTGCTTTTTAGATGAGAATACATCTATTCTAGTTAAAAAGTGTCTGGCTCAGATAAATTTAACAAAAAAGATAAATCTTTTGTGTCTGTTTTAGACAACATGACTCAGCCGTCCAGTATTCGTGATTAATCGCGTTAAAAACCTAATTGATCCGAGCTAATTATTGAAGAAGAAACGTTATCATTATCACAGCGAGCGGAGACAACATGTTCCACCAAGTTTCGTGTAATAGAAGTAGGTCAGTTGGAAATAATGGTACATAATTGGAGTTTGACGAAATTATTTTCTATAGTTCTTGTTAATATTTCTTCAAATTTTGAAGTTTGTAAATGAATTAATTTGGAAATAGTGATGAAATAAAAGAAACAGTGTTAAATTGTTAAAATAAAAGTTCAATTTGACACCGTTTAACTTCAAAATTTGTTGAAATTTCAAAATGTGATTTTTAAAAATGTTTCTACAGTTTTTGTTAATATTTCTTCAAATTTTAAAGACTGTAGATTAATTAGTTTGAAGTAATGATGAAATAAAGGCAACAATGTCAAATTGGTAAAAATTTCAAGTTCAACTTTGGAACCCTGTAACTTCAAAATTTGTTGAAATTTCAAAATGTTATTCTCAAAAATATGTTTCTACAGTTTTTGTTAATATTTTTTCAAATTGTAAAGACTGTAGATTAATTAGTTTGGAAGTAATGATGAAATAAAGGCAACAATGTCAAATTGATAAAAATTTCAAGTTTAACTTTGGAACCCTGTAACTTCAAAACTTTTTGAAATTTTAAAATGTGGTCTTCAAAAATATGTTTCTACAGTTTTTGTTAATATTTTATCAAATTTTAAAGACTGTAGATTAATTAGTTTGGAAATAATGAGAAATAAAAGCAACAATGTCAAATTGGTAAAAATTGCAAGTTCAACTTTGGAACCCTGTAACTTTAAAACTTGTTGAAATTTTAAAATGTGGACTTCAAAAATATATGCCTACAGTTTTTGTTAATATTTTTTTAAATTTTAAAGACTATAGATTAATTAGTTTGGAAGTAATGATGAAATAAAGGCAACAATGTCAAATTGGTAAAAATTTCAAGTTCAACTTTGGAACATTGTAACTTAAAAATTTGTTGAAATTTCAAAATGTTATTCTCAAAAATTTGTTTCTACAGTTTTTGTTAATATTTCTTCAAATTTTGAAGACTGTAGATCAATTAGTTTTGTAAAAATGATGAAATAAAGGCAACAATGTCAAATTGATAAAAATTTCAAGTTTAACTTTGGAACCCTGTAACTTCAAAACTTTTTGAAATTTTAAAATGTGGTCTTCAAAAATATGTTCCTACAGTTTTTGTTAATATTTTTTTCAAATTTTAAAGACTGTAGATTAATTAGTTTGGAAATAATGAGAAATAAAAACAACAATGTCAAATTGGTAAAAATTTCAAGTTCAACTTTGGAACCCTGTAACTTTAAAATTTGTTGAAATTTCAAAATGTTATTCTCAAAAATATATTTCTACAGTTTCTCTTAATATTTCTTCAAACTTTGAAGTCTGCAAATTAATTATTTTGGAAATAATGATGAAATAAAGGCAAAAATGTCAAATTGTTAAAATCGAAGTTAAATTTTGACAGCTTAAAAACTTGTGATCTTCAAAAATTAAAATTGCACGGAGCTAATTGTTGAAGACGCCACAGTGGGCGGAAACGTGTTCTAAGGAGACAACGTCTCTACCAACAAGTTTTGTGTAATAGAAGTAGGTTAGCTGTTTATTTACCACGGGGGTGTGAAATAATTGGAGTTTGCCGAAATTATTTGAAAGTAAGTACATTTTTATTTAATTATTCATGACCTACGACCTAGATTTAATTGAAAGACTACAAATTCTTGATTTGTCTTTAAACAGAAGTTACAGCAAGTGATTTTATATCAATGAATACTATTCAAGCGTGATTTGTAACTGATTTATTCGAATCCACTATTTTTACAAATACCAGTAAAATAATTTAAACAAAGCAGCTGCCCAATGTCTGGAATTAGTTTTATCTAGAATAAGCATGACTTTTCCGAGATCTTTTTCCCTCAAAGTAGTGTGCAGGATTATTTTTCTGAAACTATCTTTTATGACTTTATGACTAAAAGTTATTCCTTGTTTATGTCATTTTGTATTAACACTTATTTGTCTATATTTCTTTTTTTCCGTTTTAGCTTGTATTACTGCATGTGCTTAATGTAGTATTAATGTAATATTTTAACTTTGACTTATCCTATACATTTTTTATGTTTTCAATTATTGTTTTTTGGGTAGTTGAACATTAACTACTGAGGTTTTCAGACAAAAATTTTCCCAGGATAAATGTTGAACCATGGAAGTTTGGACCTAAATTAAATACAGCTCATGTACTTGGAGTTTTTTTCTTTGTATCAACGGTTCAGCCATTGAAACGATGTGAAAATGGGTGTTAAAAGGAAAAACTCTCAATAAAAACAAAAGTTTCGTCAAAAAAACATGAAAAGCATAAAAAATACAAAATAGGCTGAATTTGAGAATTAAATAATTTCGATGCTAGTGTGAGTTGAATTAAACGGTATTATTTTTTAGAACGGTTCCAGCAACTCATCTCGTAAACGCATATTACATGCATAAAAGTAGGTGGCAAATAAATACGATTTTTCAATTAAGTCTTTTATTAAAAAAAAAAAAGATTTTGTGGGAGTAGGAGATATAATAATGTCAATGTAATATTGAGTGATCCACAAAAAATGTTTTTTAGAAAAATTCACTCATATATACATATTATGCCAACAAGTTTATACACCTCAAATACTTATGGCGGAATTATATATATATTTTTTAACTGTATTTAGATATTATTATCATTATAATAACCAACAGCAATGATTTATATAAATTTGATTACACATGTCCAGTCAAGTCATAAAATTCAGATTCAAAATATAATTAAAGTCTCACCTCTATCAATAAACTTCCAACCCCATCTCTATATTTCCATTAACGGTTAAGAAAGTTTTATCATATCTCTACCTTTGTCGGCCACGACATATTTTGGAAACATTTTTTTGTGGATCACTCTTTATAAAAATACAAAATAGTAATAAAATAAAAATGACGAAAATATAACCAGACCTCATTTCGTCCTTCGCGTCCTTTTATTTGAAGCTCCCGGCTGTTCATCGACGACATCTACAACATAGAAAAAAGACGTATACAATCAATAGGTATTTTTAATACTACCAATAATGTATAATGTGGTTTTTAATGTTCAGTAATATTTGATACCTTGTAGCAGAGTTTGATATATTTATATCAGGGTATGTAGGGGTAAGGATCTCCAATTCAAGCTTGGTTTCCGAATCCAAGTCATTAAGCACGTTTTCACAGACCACTAAGATGCCATTAACTCCCTGCACTTACAATTTCTTTGTACACCAGCTTCAACAAAGCAAGTGAAGCTGAGGACAAAAGAGTTGTAACAGGCTCAAAGCCAGTTGTCTTATTCTATCCCCATGCTTCAACATTGTTTTAACCCCCAGCCATTGCTGGTTATACTCTTAACGAGCTGTACTGCAACTGCAAACGCAGTATTTCATAGATCACTAGAATGCTGACGCAGCTCCCCCCCGCAAATGAAGCACATCTTGGAGCAACAAAGCTCTGCCTTCAACTTAGTGCATCCACAATTTCTTTGTACACCAGCTACAACAATGCAAGTGAAGCTGGGGGTAGAAGAGTTGTAATAGACTCAAAGTCAGTTGTCTTATTCCATCCCCATGCTTCACCATTGTTTTAACCTCCAGCCATTGCTGGTTATACTCTTAACGAGCTGTACTGCAACCGCAGTATTTCATAGATCACTAGAATGCTGACGCAGCTCCCCCCGCAAATGAAACACATCTTGGAGAAACAAAGCTCTGCCTTCAACTTAGTGCATCCACAATTTCTTTGTACACCAGCTACAACAATGCAAGTGAAGCTGGGGGTAGAAGAGTTGTAATAGACTCAAAGTCAGTTGTCTAATTTCATCCCCACGCTTCAACATTGTTTTAACCTCCAGCCATTGCTGGTTATACTCTTAACGAGCTGTACTGCAAACGCAGTATTTCATAGATCACTAGAATGCTGACGCAGCTCCCCCCGCAAATGAAACACATCTTGGAGAAACAAAGCTCTGCCTTCAACTTAGTGCATCCACAATTTTTTTGTACACCAGCTACAACAATGCAAGTGAAGCTGGGGGTAGAAGAGTTGTAATAGACTCAAAGTCAGTTGTCTAATTTGATCCCCACGGTTCAACATTGTTTTACTCTTAACGAACTGTACTGCAACTGCAGATGGTGGTGATGCAGCACATTTTGACAGACCACTAGAATGCTGCCACAGCTCCCCTCGCAATTGAGGCAGATCTTGGAGCAATAAAGCCTAGGCATCAACTTCCTGCGCCCACAATTTATTTGGCAGTTCTTTGTACACAATGTAAGTGAAGCTGGGGATAAAATACACGCTTCAACATTGTTTTAACCCCCAATGGTTATACTCTTAACGAGTGCTGCTGTTCTGCAACTGCAGATGTTGGTAACGCAACAACATTAGAACTGAATCTTGTAGAAAATAGATCTACTTGCTTCAAGACTAAAGATGCCTGGGACCTGCCCCAGGATGAAATGCTAAAGAAGTACAGTTTTGTGAAAAACTTCAAAACCACAGAGCTGGGCTGCAAGAAAGAATGGAGCCAAGAATCCATCACGTTTGCAACTGAAAGACGTGCTATTCAGTGGTATACGGACGGTTCCAAAACCATAGAAGGAACTGGAATAGGAGTGTATGGGCCGAGAACCAAATACTCTGAAAGCTTGGGAAAATACCCAAGCATCTTCCAGGCTGAAATTCACGCCATCGAGAAGTGTATCCAGTTTAACATTGAGGGAAACTATCATAGACAAGAGATTATCATCATGTCCGATAGTGAAGCAGCCATCAAATCGCTGAGCTCTTACGTAATCAGCTCAAAAATGGTCTGGAGATGCCTAGAACAATTGAATGAGCTATGCGAGAAAAATAGAGTTACTCTCACTTAGGTCCCGGGACATAACGGGGTACAGGGTAACGAGATTGCAGATAGTCTTGCAAGGAAAGGGGCTCAAACACTCTTTGAAGGACCTGAGCCGTTCTGCGGTATCAGCAGTAACATAATATTAGGAGAGATTAAAAAAGAATTGGGCAGTAGAAAAACCGATAATTGGAACAATCTCTTGGGGCTGAGACAGGCCAAGATACTTCTGGGTGAATATGACCGGAAAAGATCGGAAGCCTGCATCTGCCTGAGCAAGAACAGATTACGTATTGTAACAGGGATCTTTACCGGGCATTGCCGACTAAAAGGACACCTAAGTAAACTGAGAGTGCAGATTCTGTGAGGAGGAGGACGAAACCTCCATTCACATCCTAACTGAATGTGTAGCACTCGAGAATCCAAGGGCACTATTTCTAGGAGGATATCAAATAGAAGAGGGAGATTTACCTAACTTGAAGCCACTTCAAATCCTACACTTCCTTGAGGAAATAGGATTGGAAGAGTCGTTATAGACATTGAGACACTTCCTCGGTGCATTAGCGACAGAAGGGGGCACAACAGATCTTTTAGGTCGCAGTGTATTAACACTCCATTCCCAACATAACATAGTTTAATGTTGCCAGAAAATGTGCTCTAACAACGTCAGCAAGATTACGGTTCTTAACAAGAGTCGTGATAAATTTTATTTTCACTTGGTTGAAGAGTGCTGATGTGTCGCAACTATTCATTGTTTGTAAGAAGAGAATTTATTCAGCAATCGTAGAACTTACGTTACCCTTTCCAGGTTTCAAAAAGAAGACGTTTCCAAACTTGCAGACACCTACTGAAATGATTAAGAGGTTCGCATCCTCTCCAACTACAACTACCGTTTAATTTGATAGCGATACTGACAAATCAGTGATAACCAGAGTGTCTGCGTCTTCTTTTGCTTTCTTGCATGAAACGTTTTATGTATGGCGATTACGAATCTTTCAATAATTACAAAACCCTGTCTTTTTGTTTCTTGGCTACTAGTTTAATTTAAAACAAATGATCCATTTTTTCCCGTTTTTGAGAGTTGTTTGCTTTTAACACCCATTTTCGTATCATTTGAACTATTTAGTAAAAAAAAAAATTAAAATAATAAAATGTCAGCCTGGAATACTAATATGGTAGAATATGGAACCGACAATGATACTGGTTATTGTATCAAACCGAGCACGTCTTTGGTAAAAACTAAAAATTTAAAACCTATCAATCAACTTACTCTCTGCCGCTCGCTCCTCCGCCCTGGCCTTCATCCTCGTAATGAAAGCGGCTCCCTTGTTTTTCCTAAAGTTCTCGTACGGATCGTTCAGGTTGCATCCCACCCCCTTAAACTGGTCCTGTCTGTCGCGAACGTCACCGCCCGATATCGGAGTGTCTATGCCCTGTTCGTTAGCACCTAAACCACTACCGCCCCACCCCATCTTCTTGAGCATCTGGTGGCCTTTATTTGACGAATCCAGCTCTTGGATAGCGTTTTGCATTAAAGTAAGATGACTAGAACGATAAAAGTGCGATGAAATGTATGGACGTTAAACGATTTCGCGGCACAAATTATTTCGTATATCAATATTTCGTTTTTATAGTACGTGAATTATAAAGAAATTGAATTATAATATAATGCTGTGTAGGGGAAAACTATGAAGAATATAAGAAACATAATAATACTATATGGGCACAAACTATGAAGAATATGAATTGCATAATATAATGCTGCCTGGGAAACATAATGAAGAACATAATATATTGCTGGGTAGGAAAAAACTATAAAGAATATAAGAAACAATATAATGCTGCGTGGAGACAAACTATGCATATTAAAATAATAATTAGGGAAAACTATGTAAAATGTGAGAAGCGAAATATAATGCTGAGTAAAAATATGAGAAGCATAATACAATGTTGCCTGTGAAAAAACTATGGAGAATATAAGAATATAATGCGATGTGGGGAAAAAACTATGAAGAATATGAGGAGCATAATAATAATGCTGTGAGAGGTAAAACTATGAAGAATATAAAATCTGGAAAAACTATGGGACTAGGGACAAATTATGAATATAATGTGGCGTGGGGGAAGAATATAATAAACATATTATATTGATGTGGGGAAAAACTATTAAAAATATGAGAAGCATAATATAATGCTGTGTGATGAATATACGAAATATAATATAATGCGGCATGGAGGAAAACTATGAAGAATATGAGAAGCATTATAATATAACGTTGTGTAGGGGAAAACTATGAAGACTATAAGAAAATACCAAGTATTAATAAGAGTGAATATTAATGTTCAAGTCGTAATAAAAGAAGATACGACATGTATTCAAGGTGGATTAGAAAAAACTTACTATATGACATGAATTAAACAGTCTTTGAAAGCAAATATGAGGAAAAATGAAGACGAAAATAAGATGGTACTGAAACCAGTGATACTTTTTTGGTAAACATTCGCGCAAGAAAAATTTACAAATTGTCTTGTGGAAGATGGAAATACAGCACATTATTTTTTGGCCAAAATATCAAAAAGACGTCTGTATATTGGGGTTTTTGGGATCGCCGATAGGACATTAAAAATTAGAAATACAAAATGACGGATCCAATATTGCACCCGAAAATATTAAAAACTGCGTGCTTTTACCTAAAAATTAAACCTAAATGAGTCCTAAGAGGTTTTTGAGCTTCCTAATTTTGAATATAACAGTAAAATTTGAAATACAAAAGAGCAGATTCAATATGGCGCCAGTAAATGTAACAAATTGCATTTTTTCGTAAAAATTAAATCTGGAGTGTTCCTAAAAGGTTTTTTTGGTGGCTAATTTTGAATATAACAGTAAAATTAAAAATACACAATAGCGGATCCAATATGGCGTTCATAAATGTAACAAATTGCATTTTTGGATAAAAATGAAATCTGGAGGGTTTCTAAAGGATTTTTGGGGCGACTGATTTTAAATGACATTAAAAATGGCCGATCCAATATGACGCCAGAAAATATTGGAAATTGTTTATTTTGCATAAAAATGAAACCTAAATGATTTGGGTTTTTAAGAGGTTTTTGGGGTCGCTGATTTTGAAAATTAAAAATACAAAATGGTGATCCAATATGGCGGCCGACAAAATTAAAAAATTGTCGATTAAGATTTAAAATTAAAAATGACTGTTACGACTTATTAGATCTGCCGTTTTGAAGTTGGAAAATCTGATAGCACATTCGTAACCTTAAGATTTTGTCACTTTTGGCAAAAAAAATAGGCGAAACGTTTTATAGTGCAGCGGTGGAGCGTTTGCTGACGGTATTATTAAAACTGTTGTAGAAAATATTAATGTCATATATTTGATTTGATAGTAAGCCATCATGGCTCAGGTCGTTAAGCGAATTCCATTTCAGATAAAAGCAATCTTTATTTATTTTGGGAAAATCTAAAAATAAAAAATACGACATGGCTGTTTATTTATTTTAATATATTTGATTTGACATAATATCTCTACAATTAATATTTTCGCTATTTATTTATTACTATTTTTAAAACCGTTCAAAAAAAAAATCCATAGTTGAGTGTTACGATCTGAGCCATGAAGGCTTCGTCGAGTGCTCCATCACTGCCTGCAGAGATTGCAGAAAATGATTTCCAATTTCATATAATACTACTAAAAGTGTCACTAGTTTTTCTACCAGAGATAAGTAGATTAAAGTGCAATTAACCTCAAAGTTCAAAATGTTAAGGATAAAAGGACATTTAATCATCAGAATGGATTAAAAACGGAAATATACAAAACGTGGCCTAAAAAATTTTTAATTAAAAAAACGCTGTTTTCGGGAAAACCATAGAGAATGTAAGAAAATATAATGTACTGAAATAAAGATATTTCTTAACGTCAAAGTTAAAAATGTTAAGAAGGGTACAAGTACATGTAATTAAAAGTACATTTATTAATGTCAAAGTTAAAGCTGTTTAACGAATCAGAAAAAGAAAGGTTGTTTAAAATAGATTAATAAAAACAAACTCAGTTTTTGGTAAAACTATGGAGAACCTGAGAAAACATAAAATGAATGAAATAACATATTAAAGATGAAGTTTACAAGGTTAAGGGTACACTAACATGAAATCAGGATGGATCAAAAAGACAAATAACTAAAAGGGGTTATTAAAAAAAATAGTTTTAGGGAAAACTGTGGAGATTATGAATAAAAATGAGATACTAAAATAAACATTAACGTTTAAGGTGTTAATAAAGGGAACAAGGACATGAAATCGAGATGGATCAAAACTAAATATCAAAGATTGTCTAGTAACGCAGTATTAGGGAGAAAATATTAAATATTAAAAAGTGGATTAAAAATCAGACGTTTATAAATGCCAACAGTCAAAATAAGATGGATACTAAAATACTTAGTTATACTCACGAAAAAGTGGCAGGCGGCGAAATGGATCTCCTAATAGGCGATCTAGACCTCGACCTAGACCTCGTCCGACTCCTTCGTCTTCTTTCCCTTCTCGAGTCTCTATCCGATCTCGATTCCCTCTCAGGTCTGGACTCCCTGTCGCTCCTGGATTCCCTTTCGCTCCTAGGCTCCCTCTCGGGTCTCTGTTCTCTCTCGGTCCGGGGTTCCCTCTCGATCCTAGGTTCCCTATACCTCCTCCTCGGACTTCGAGATCTGCTCCTCGACCTCGATCTGGATCTACTTTTCGATCGCTTGTTGTTCCTGTAGATTTGCGTAGGAGGCGGCGTCGGCGATTTGCTTCGATACCGCCTCTTCGGCGGGGACGGTTCTTTTTCTGAGGGTAACAGAACCGGGCTGGGACTGCGGGATTTCTGCCTCAGTCCAGCTTGTATCAGTTCTTCTTTCTCCTTTTTAGCGATATTTTTCGCTTTGTAGTATTCATATAAACCTAGTTTCTCCCAACCTTCGCTGTTTATACACACACGAGAGAATTCATGAGAAATAATCGCAAAATTAAGGCGAGATTAGATTTATAATTCGTTTTTAAATAATAGATGGCGTTAAACATTTTTTTAGGAGTTTCAGAATTATTGCTTACTTATTATTTACAGTTCAGCAATTTAGGACCAATCACTCGCGGAGCTAGGGGCTTATCTAAGAGGCAGAAAGTATGTGAAGGAATATAGCATCCAAATAGTGACGCTATCGCGACCCTCAGAGAAACTTGCCCTCGTCTGAGGGCTGAAATCTAAGCCTGTCGGGACCCTCAAAGAGAAAAGCAGAGGAATGCATAGTTGTTTAGTTTGGGAAAGAAAATGGATTACTGAAGGATTGTTACAAGAAGAATGCAATGGCTGACTAGGAAGGTGTAGAGATTAAAAGAGCAATAAAAATACAAAAACGAGAAATTGGCTGTAAATTTGGTGGTGGAATGAAAACTAAACGTTATAATTCGTAATTAAAGCTCTAGCGGATTTGAGCATGAAAAAATGCTATGTGAGGAAAAACTATGAATAATATGAAGAACATAATATAGTGCTGGGTAGGGAAAAACTATGAATGATATGAGAAGCATAATATAATGTTGTGTGGGGCAAAAATATGAAGAATATGAGAAACATAATATAATGTTGTGTAGTGGAAAACTATGAAGAATATGAGAAGCATAATATGTGTAAAAAACTAAGAACAATATGAGAAACATAATATAATGTGTCTGGAATAACTGTGAAGAATATGAGTAGCATAATATAATGGGTGGAAAAACTATGAAGAAAATGAGACACATATTGCGGTGTAGGGAAAAACTATGAAGAATATAAGGTTGAATTCCAACCTCATTGTGGAAGCCTGACGGAACCCTCAAAGAAGAGTTTGGGCAAGGAAATAAATACCTACAAGATTGTCACAAGAATAATGCAATGGCTGACTAAGAATGTATAGCAATCGAAAAGGCAGTAAAAAGAAATAATAACCAGAATTGGCTATAAATTTAGTGATGAAATAAAAACTAAGAACGTTATTAAATCAAACTTCCAGCAGACTTGAGCATAAAAAATGGTTGTGGCAAAAAAGGTTCCATGCATCAACCAAGTGATATTTTTAAAAGAAAATTGTTATAATTCTAAGGTGTCGAAACGTAATGTTTCCATGGCTACCGATCTAGGGTTGAAACAATTTTTGACAATCGGACAGTCTGTAGGGAATTTAAAATGAAGCCAAACGATTGATATAATGACTATCATGTGCCTTCAATGATGCTGCAAAGGTGGCAAAAGAAAAATTAAAAAAAAAAAACAAAATATATTTCTGAGGAACAAAATTCGTGGGTTTGGATTCCACCAGTAGAACGAATTTTGTTCAATTTTCTTCCAGTTTGTTTTCACCCCTTGACGAATTCGTGATTTTTTTTTCTTAAAATAAAGAAAAAATCTCAAAGAAACTTTGGACGAGTTTTTCTCTATATTCATTTTTAAATTAGTTACATTTAAGAATTGAAATTAATTTCCTTTTAATTTTTATCAATTAAAATCGTTTAACTCTTTCACTGCGAATCCTTTTGGCCGGTGCCGAACACAAATGAACAGATGACGCACATGTGAGTCGTTAGCACATATTGGGGGACTTCCTATGACGTACATGTGCGTCGTTAGCACATAGTGGGGGGCGCTTCTTATGACGCGAATGTGCGTCATCAGCTGTGAAAGTGTTAAAGATTAAAGAATAATGTCTGAAACTCCTCAATGTTTACGATATATAAAATGATAGACCAAATTTCTGAAAATATTCCTATTTTACCTGTCTCTAGGCCTTTCGTGGCTCGGTAACGAGTAGAAGGCTTCGACTGCGGCCAGAAGACGGTCACTAGGCGGCGCTGGCGGTGGCAACCTAATATCTTTAGGATCTAATGGTTTATATGTGGTTTCTTCCAACTAGAATAAGTGCGGCAATATACCATTATAAAGTTCCATTTTTACAGCAAAATATTTGTTAAAAAAAATAAATATTAACAAATTCTATGAGAAATTATTTTATATAAAGTTTTTGGGCTTGTTTCTATTATTTCGATGGCGTTTTATAGATAAAATTGTTTCATGCATCTTTGCTTATATCTCTGTAGTTTTCCCGAGTTAGGAACATTCTGGAAGGCTTTCAACGCCGTCACAAATTACTTTCAGGAATTTTCTTTGGCTCTCCTAATGGCATAACCATATTCTCCTTATAGGCTTTCCAGTTCCCCAACCTTTTGGACAGGTTAAAGAGTTTACGACTTCTGCTCATTTTTTGGAAAGGTCTCGATTCCACTATACAGTACGTTGCAATCCATTATACAACAAAGTGTATTCAGATATTGTTAACGACTTGCAATCCATTATACAGTGACTTGTACATCTCTTGTAAGAATTGACGACACTATTATGGTGATATTGTTGATTTATGTTCATCAGAAACAAAAGAAATCATTTTAATGACATCTTTTCAAGAAACCACAACACTGGCCAACTTGAAAATAAATATATTTTAAAAATGGTAAGGGATTGAATGAAATTTAATGTATTATGAGTTGCGTTTTAAGGTTAGGTCACTCTGGCTGACTCTGTACTTCTCTGTGAGGCTGCTGAGGAGAAGAAGAGAGTCCTGGAAGTATTGCCAGTCAAGCTATATTCGTTTAGCTTCAGAAGAGAAAGCTTCAAAATTCAGCCGCAATCAACAGGCGAAAGATAATGATGCGCAAGTTTCAATCACCGAGAGGTGCGCAATGGTCATCGGCAAAATCAACGAACAATTTTGTCTACAAAATGCACCATATAACCTCACTACTATAACCCTTATGCGAACGTACCTTAACTAAAGGAACCATAAGCCCGGCCGGCAGATCGTAATACGGCGCCGACGGCATCAACTCCTCCAAATACGGTTCCGGTTTGGCGGGAAATCCGGGCGGCGGCTTCGAGAAATCCGGAAACAGTCCGGGCGGTGAGAAGTATCCGGGCGGCGGTTGCGTGAACGGCAGATTTTCCAAACCGTTCGGCGCCGTCGCGACCAACGGAGGCGGTTGCAGGCTCAAATCGGGCGCCACCGGAAACACGGGTACCGTAGCAGCGCTTTGCGCGAAATTGTTCAAATTCATCGATTGCTGGGCCACGCTGGTGGCGCCCATATTCGGCGGGGGTATCGACGTGTTCATTTCCATGTAGTTGTCGGTGGTGTTGGTGGAATTTATGCTCGATATAGAGAACGTGGGGGTGTTTGAGATGGCGTTCGAGGTGACGCCTTGGCTGAGGTTTTGAATTGTTTGCTGTAAACTAGCTTGGATCGATTCTAGAGGTACGATTGACGAACCACCTGTTGGAGAAAAATCGACCTGTCTGTAGTCAGGGTTCTGGAATAATATCACTGGTTTTCGTATTTAATTATTGTATAATTATTTTTTTGCTAGGAGTAAATTCAAAAGTCATATTTACACAAGCAAAAGTTACTTTAGTTGTAAATTTGAATCTGTCTTTTGGATTGTTTATTTAGCTAGTTTGCTATACCAAAGTTAGTAAAAATAAATAAGTAAAAACATAAATAATAGAGATACAATTAAATCTAAATAATCCTAGAGTTTTTTCTAGATAAATATTCATTAATTAAATAGTCTGCGACTTGTATAAAGGCCTTTAAATAATTGTGAATTTTGCAACATTTTCAATATAAAAGTTAATTATGTTCCGATTTAAATAACTGTGCACATTAAAGTGACAATCAAGATACGAGATAAAAAATACAAGATGTAGCTTCCAGCCTTACCCCATCATTATGAAATAACAAAGTAATGGTGTACATAGAGATTCATAGAAATTCATAAAAATTAATAAACTCATATAAATTCGTAGAAATTCATAGCAATTCATAGAAATTCATAGAAATTTATAGAAATTCATATAAATTTATAGAAGTTCATAGAAATTCATATAAATTCATAGAAGTTCATAGAAATTCATAGAAGTTCATAGAAATTCATAAAAATTCATAGAAATTCATAAAAATTCATAGAAATTCATAGAATTTCATAAAAATTCATAAAAATTCATAGAAATTCATAAAAATTCATAGAAATTCATAGAAATTCATAGAAATTCATAGAAATTCATAGAAATTCATAGAAATTCATAGAAATTCATAGAAATTCATAGAAATTCATAAAAATTCATAGAAATTCATAGAAATTAAATAGCAAAGCTAAATAAAGTGTAGTTTTCATTTTGCAAATCATATTGGAAGGTTTTCAATACCCAATACTGTATGTGCTAAATATCTGTTTGAACTAAATAAATAATCCACGATAATAAATTATCAAAACTCAAATGTAATAGTAGCAAAATGAAATAAAATGAATTTAGCTCAAAGCCGAATATCACATAAAATACAACGACCGTTTCCCCTTCCGAAAACAACTACTCCTTTGGCTAATACCACAACAGGCATTGAATTAATTTCTATCTCTGCTGTTTTTCCTTCGGATGTAATTCAATGCCTGTTGTGGTATTAGCCAAAGGAGTAGTTGTTTTCGGAAGGGGAAACGGTCGTTGTATTTTATGTGATATTCGGCTTTGAGCTAAATTCATTTTATTTCATTTAAATAAATAATGTCTATTCTATTTATTCTATAGAACTAAATCAATGGTTAAACCGTATTCCTTACCTGTCGCGCTGCTCGTTTGCGTCTGAGGCGGAGCGACGACCTGCTGTTCCAAATTCTGTTTTTGCTGTTGCAGATCCATGATCTGTTGCATGGCGTGGCACACGAACGCCTGATGCTGGGCCTGATAACCGTCGAACGTCACTTTCGTTTGCTGCGCCAACGAGGCTACCTCGCCGGTGTACTTGCCCATCTGGTCGGCTTGGTACTGTTGATAGCTCTGCAGGGGGTTGCGCATCTTGTCTAACGTGTCAGGCTTTAGGTAATTCGTTTTGGATTCCCACAGTTTTAACAGTTTGTCGAGTTTCAGTTTTTGATCGGTGGTAGCGGCTATGCTGGCGTTGCAAAACATCGGTACCACGACCCTTTCTAGCGCGTCTTTTAGATCGTTTGCGTTCTTTCTCGCGCTGTTAGAAAATTGATTTATTAAATCAAGTGCCAGCATTTTCCCTTCTGAGTAAGATTGCTGATTAGGCTATAGCTATCTAATATACGTAGTTTTATCAGCTTTTACGTTTGGAAATGTATTTTTTTTTTTTAATAAACGAAAGAAAATCAGTACTATAATACGAAAATATAGAAACATCGACAAATTATTTGTGTGGATTGACAAACTAATGATTTTTATAAATTTATTTTATAGTTTTATGGTTTTTTAGTTTTTTTTTTATAGTTTTTTTAGTTTTTTTAGTTTTTTTATATTTTTTTTAGTTTTTATAGTTTTTTATGATTTTTTATGGTTTTTTATAGTTTTTATAGTTTTTTTTTTTTATATTTTTTATAGTTTTTTTATAGTTTTTTATATTTTTATGATTTTTTTTATAGTTTTTATTGTGATTTTTATAGGTTTTTATAGTTTTTTTATAGTTTTTTATATAGTTTTTTTTCTAGTTTTTTTTTTTTTTTTATTTTTTTTTGTTTTTTTTATAGCTTCTTATAGTTTTTTTTATAGCTTTTTATAGTTTTTTATAGCTTTTTATAGTTTTTTATAGCTTTTTATAGTTTTTTTATAGTTTTTTTATAGTTTTTTATAGTTTTTTACAGTTTCTTACCACCAATAGAAAATAACAGAATATTGAAAGGATAAGAACACAGCCTAATAATACTGTATGGGAAGGTTTTTTATACACTTTAAGTTAACAAAAGACACTTTTATATAAAATTTACCTTAAAAAAAAACAAATTCATATTTTATGTAGGTATTACTTTATTGGGCAGCCTTTTGCGAAATCAATAAAGATATTTGTTGTTGTTATGGAAATAAATATGGAATTTGACATGATACTATAAAAAAGAAGGTATGATATTGTGCAAATTTGTACCACGTGACTATTACATACTGTATTGCAGAAGTGGAGCTTTGAATCAGTTTTAATTACCGAAATATTATGCAAAAAGTTTATTACTGTTATTAATAATGAATTATATCTTACCTATGATGCAATAGATCGTTGACTAAATAAATTATGTGTAATTTTTGAGAGAAAACTCCAGTCTGCAGAACTCTGAAACAATATAAAAATAGATTTAGTTCAATCCAACAAAATAATGAATAATTTTAGATAATTTAGCAACATTTGTAACACTGAAATCACTTACTTATACAACAGGCTTTCAACTATACAATGTGCTTTTTCCTTATTGGTAGCGTGCTGTAAAAACCAAGATTTTCCATTGCTTATACTGTCCTTAGTACAACTATCTATAATAGGTTGTAGAATACTATGAATATCTGTCAGTGATACTTCACAACGGTCAGATTCTTTTTGCAAATCTGCAGCCTCACATTTAGCTAAAATAACACCATATGAAATTATTAGTAGTACTAGGTATGTTAGTTTTATGGTTTCTATTATTTTGCTTCCTTGATTTTGGGTTAAAAATTTGAAAATAACGTTTTTGTAGTATCTTTAGGTTTATGAACAATTTTTACATTATAGGTATCTAGAGAACATTTTAAGACACTTACTCTGGATTTTTTTTTACATATATGACAATTTAGTAATGTTTAAAAATGGATACCATATAGTTTACAGTTAATTTACACCTTCCCAAAACACATACTTCTATAAATTTAATAAAGGTAGTTTATTTTTATCAATTTGTATCTTTTAAATTATATATTTTACTCACTTTTCCTTCTTATTATACAATAAAGCTATTTTTATTTAATTGATGACTTACCCACTGTCTGTTCAACTTGAGTTTGTTGTTGTTGAAGAAGTACCGTATGTTGAGCTGTTAAATTGTGTTCACTTTGTTTAATTTGTTCTCTTAAAACATCCTGCTGTTTATTAATTTGTTCAATTTCCGCCGTGTGCTGCATTTGAGGAGGCGGTGGTGTAATCCAGGTATTATCTTGATCATTCACAACACCACCCTGTTGTTTGACTACTACAATAACACAAACTCTTCAAATATGTTTCGCATATAATATTGAGAACTTATTTTATTATTTTTTATTACTTACCTTATTCAATGAGGAATGCTAATAATAATAAACTTACTTGCTTGTTCAGATGCAACTTTGCATTGATAGTAATTAAAATATTCACCGCCATACAAAAATTGAAATTTCGGATTTCCCTTTTGTTTATTTTTAGTCATTTGCTCAAATTCCGGGCCATTTCGAGCCACAAATTGGGCCAATTTATCAATAATATTCCTAAGTTCAGTGTCTAAAAACATAACCTTAAATTAGCTCTGTGGCTGAATAAAGTGTTATAGTCAACATACTCACCTTGTGGAGGTTGAGGTAAATCCATAGTTATCAAATTCTCATAATTTTACTTTCTATCCTAATAGTTTTGTACATTAATTGATAATGATATATCAAAATTGATCCAAATTTCTACACCTCTCCTTTACCGTCTAGCGAGCTTATTAAAACTAAAGCCACAATTAATATTATCGTCAGTCTGTCACTGAAGTGTCAGTTATTACGATAAAATGGTGCGTGTAAAGTATGCTTAAGAGCGTTGGGCCTCTTGCTTTTTATTATACAAGGCACCAAGGAATAGGCAATAACTAAAAAGATACCTTATCAAAAACTTTCATAATACCGAATACAAAAAAAAAAGTATTGCAGTAAGGCGAGAACGGTTTCTCATTAGTATTTATTTAGAAATGAATTATTAAATTTGGTGTATTAATAACCTACAAAGAACAAGAATAGCTGTCTGTGCTAACAAAAAAAGAAGAATTAGGAATTTAAATATCAAAACTTGTCACTGTCACATTTCTAAAGAATTTTAAATAAGCAAATTTAATGAAAGATGGTACTTACTAGAAAGTACGTAAAAATAAAATAATGTACAGGTATGAAAACATAAAGACTTTAACATATCAATTTTCAATAAAAATGTTTCAGAAATGGAATTACTATGGTATAATAGCAATTCATTCAAAGGTAGAAGATAAAATATTTGAAATATTTTCAAAATGAATAACAGCAAATGGGTTTCCATTTGTGGCGAGGATTTTGTAATATGGTCCCAAAAACAACACGATTTCGGTATTTGTTTCCAAAATCTTTTCTTGCATATTCCGATTTTGGCTGTTTTTGGGGTTTCATCTGCGTATTTCTTTGGGCTGCATACAAGTACCATACCGCGAAGTAAAGTTCAACGATTTGCTTTAGTTATAAGAAGTATTATAAGTATAATGCTTACATTTAGTCCAATAATTGAGATTTGTTATAATATTTATTTAAATGAAGAAACTATGGATAATGCTTCAGTATTGTTAGGAGTTGTCCAGGGTGAGTATAATTTTCCACAGTTTTCTTTACAAATGATACAAAATTATGTATTCAGAAATATTTGTGAAAGTTACCGCACTATATTTTTTGTTTTTGGGAAAAAATTGAATGGTATCTCTATTGTGAACACAATTAGTTAGGCCTATCATTATCTATGGACACAAAGTACTTCTTTTGTATTTTATGTACTTATTCCAAAAATATAAAACATCAGGTACCTCTAAAAATGTAATAACACACACATTAATGGTTTTAAATTCACTAATTTTGGATAAAGTTGAACGTTGATAGAGTTACAATCCAAGATTCCATTCCAAGATCTTTTTTAACCCAATACCTAGACTACAAGCTAGGATAGACAAAGCAAGCATGACATATAGAAGTCATCATAAACATTAAATGCAAATATGTACATTAGGACTAACAATAATCAATCTGAAATAGTTTACCAAATTTTAAAATCAAGTTAGATATATCTTAATACCCATAGTTTCTATATTTATTAAAGAATTGATTTTTTTTTGTATTTTAAACACTTTACTGCAGGATTTGTCTTATTTAACTATGTAATAAGCCACTTATACTGGGTGTAATTTTAAATGGGGTCAATTATTGGCATCCCAAATTATTTAGGTTTATTAATGAACACTAAAACCCACATTCAAAAGAATAAATTTAGATATTTTTAATTAGTCCATTTACGAGTTATTGCTGACTTCTTTTTAAATATTTCTCCTTTTTTATGACCCTGTATTTATGAATGTACCTTTAATACTTTCGATGTACGAGTTCTTAATAACAATAAAGCACACATTTCAAAATGACAACTTCATTTGATAGTCATTTTTTAGTGCTTGTAAATATTGGGCCATAAAAATACAGTTCACAAAATGGTTAGATCACTACTAGTCTCGTTAAAATTGAACAGCGGTCCACGGCTTGCATTGTAAAAAGTGTAATTTATATACGCTACAGACCATCTGTTTGTTATCTTTTGAAAGAAATTTTTGCTTTGCCATAGACTTTTTCTGCCAATGTCGTCAAATTTTGTATCTATTAATTCCGAGAGAATTGTATTTAAGGTCACATGTTCCTTGTTAGCCCTCATTCGATAAATGGTATCACGAATTTTAAATTTCTTTCCATCTGGACTATCTTTCGTTTTCAATGATGGGCGAGTTTTGCGGTGATCTTCTTTCGGCAGTTCACTATTGTGATTTTGTAATACTCCTCTTAATTTTGTTTCACTAATTCCTAGAGCATCGCATACGCGTTGTTGTACAGACATTACCGATTTTAAAGGACCGCCATTTTCTTTTTCATCCGTAAAATACTTGTGTACACTACAAATTAGACTATCTACATCTAACATACGTCTAGGCATTTTTAAAATTTCCACTAAATTTACAATATACGTACAATGTCAACACTTGCAAAGAATCAATTCAACTGCAATATTTGTAACAAATTTAGTACCTACCCTAATGTTATTTTAATTTAAATCTGACCATTAGGGCAATTTTACCTAATTTCTTGGAAAGAGGCTTATTGGAACTGGTTGTCAATGACTAATTTGCATAATTTTGTTAATCCGAAACCCGCGTAAGTATAGCGAACAGACTGTAGACAAGCGGTTCAAAACCAATAATTATTTTACCGCGAATGCAGGATAGAACCAATAGTTCAAATGTTTTTATTCCGCGAATGCTTTTTAACTACTGCGCCTGCGAAATCGTTACTATTAGTAATAATTCGGTTCAGGATTCTCACCGCGAACAAAGCTATAATAAGACCATACACTGTTGCACGTAAATTGTTTTTATAACTACTGAAAACAAAATCCTAATATCATTTTCACTGTCTCAATGTATTGACAAAACTATTTTTTTCAGGTATATCCTGGTTTTCGCACTTTATGTATACGTTACGGCTAAAAAAAGGACTGACTAAAAACCCAAGGGGACCGATGTTGATGTCAATTATATGGTCGCTGATATTTTCTCTAACTATCCTCACTACCAGAAGTCGATATTTACTCTACCGGCAGAGTACCGATCGCGAATATACTGTCACTGAATCGTTCGGATTGAGCTGCTTCGTCCTGATATTGCAGGTAGCATACGCTATCTCGTTGATACCAGGCGAAGATAATACAGATTTTACCTTTTCTAGAAGTCCTCTTGAGGTTTCTGAAACCCAATCTCTTCTCGACAGCAGTAATTATACTTACGTACAGTTTGCAGGAGTCGATGATCCTCAATATCTCGGAGTAGCCATGGAGCATACCAGTTTACTTTCTAAATTATCTTTTTCCTGGGTAAACAGCTTGATAACTAAAGGCGCTAGCGATACTCTTACGAATTCTTACGACTTATACGATCTTCCACCTGGCGTGGGTAGTAGATATAATAGTAGACGCTTAGAAAATCAATTGGAAGATCTACCGTCATCTAGTTGGAGCTTCTTGAAAGGGCTGCACAAATGCTACGCCTGGGAGTTTTACAGCGTTGGTATCCTAAGATTGATAGCCGATTGTTCTGGATTTGCAGGACCGATTTTATTGAATAAGTTAGTCAGTTTTATCGAAAATAAATCCGAAGATATTGAATGGGGATACATTTTTGCAATGTTACTAATCGGTAGTACCACTTTAGCGGCTTTGTGTGATACTCATTTTAATTTTATGATGTCTGTGGTTGGATTAAAAATGCGCGGAGGGATTATAACGATGATTTACAGGAAAACTTTATCTGTAAATTCGAGTAAATTGACTTCAAACTTATCGGTCGGTGAGATAATGAATTTTATGTCGACTGATACTGATCGTATTGTGAATTCATGTCCCAGCTTCCATTCGTTATGGAGTATACCGTTCCAAATCAGCGTCGCTCTCTATCTGCTTTATCAACAAGTGGGTGTTGCATTTTTAGCAGGACTGGTGTTCAGTATCGTACTGATACCCATAAATAAATTAATAGCTAATAAGATTGGCGAATTGAGTACCAAAATGATGAAACAAAAAGACGATAGGGTTAAACTGACATCAGAAATTTTAAGAGGTTACAAACCAATCAAATTGTACGTGTGGGAACAGCATTTTATTTCAGAAATTTCGAAGAAGAGAGATGTAGAGCTTAGATATTTGAAAGGTCGGAAGTATTTGGATGCTTTGTGCGTTTATTTTTGGGCTACGACTCCAGTGGTTATATCAATCTTGACGATTGGTACATATGTACTGTTTGGAAACAAATTGACCGCTGCCGTTGTATTTACCACGATAGCTCTGCTGAATATGCTTGTAAGTGTAATTTAAAAGTTGATTCCTTTTAACTTATAGAAATCGTTAAACGAGGAGCACTGCTAAAATTCGACGAAAATGTAGTAACAAAAATTCTACAATAGATTTGAAATTATTCATGTTTTTGGTGACCACGAAAATTGCACACAAGACTATTGTTTAACATAGAGTTGTAAAAATTCAGATAACAGTTTCAGGAAGGCACCAACAGAGAGTTCTTTGAATATTGAAAATTTTTGCATCTAAATTGAATTCCCTAATAAAGGATTCAACTAGCTATAGGGCTTAACCGTTTATGAGACAAATTGTTAAATTTAATAATGTCAAGCAAACATTTTATGGTAGAAGAAATAGTTTCTAAATTAGATACTTTTTCTGGAGGTCCATTAAGCAGTGTTCCTCGTGTATAAATCAGGTTTTTTTTTATGTTTACATTTCTTTATAGGTAAGCCCGTTGAACGCATTTCCATGGGTATTGAACGGTTTAACAGAGGCTTGGGTATCTATAAAGAGGATACAAAAATTACTGGATCTGCCCAATATTGATTATAACAAAATATACGATCAAAATAAATTAGACAACGAAAATGATGACAATGTTGAAATATTAATTTCGAATGGCAAATTTTCTTGGGAAACGACTCCAATAAACCTTGAAAATAAACCGAATACGATTTCAGAAAACGAGGAAAACGGTGTTGCTAGAAACCGCGAAAATGGTTCATTCAAACTAACTAATATCGATGTTAAAATTTACAAAGGAGAGTTCATTGGAATTATCGGTCCAGTCGGTAGCGGAAAATCTTCGTTTTTAGCCGCCATTTTAGGAGAACTGTCTGCAGAATCCGGTAGTATCGGAATCAGACACGTTGATACGGGTAATAATTTAATTCAAGTTGTTTCGAAACTAATTTTAAAAGAAATTTATAATTTTAGGTTCTGCAATTGTCACGCAACAGAGCTGGTTACAACGAGGTACCATTAGAGATAACATCCTGTTTGGAAAGTCTTTCGACGAAAGCAAATACAAGTCCGTTATATTTTCCTGTGGACTAGAGGAAGATTTAAATGAACTACAAGCTGGTGATATGACAGAAGTAGGTGACAGCGGCGGTACCTTATCGGGCGGTCAGAAAACCAGAATAGCTCTAGCTCGAGCTGTCTATCAAGACAAATTAGTGTATCTTTTTGATGATATATTCTCAGCTGTAGATGTGAAAGTTGGCAAGCACATCTTTCGTCACTGCATTATGGGACTATTAAAGGAAAAAACCAGGATACTATGTACGCATCATTCGAAGTACTTACTAAACGCCGATAAGATTATAGTACTACAGAATGGGTATTTTAAATCTATTGGGATACCGTCCGAAATACTAAAAAGCGATAAAGACGAAATTATGACTGATTTAGAGTTAGAATTAGATGCACCAATGGAGATGAATAAAGACTTAAATATAGACGATAGCAAAGATAATAATAATCTCTTTAAAGAAGTGAGCAAGAAAGGTAGCTTGGAACTGAACGTATGTGTTTCTTATTGGAAAGGAATGGGACATTTCATAAGCATTTCGATTCTTATGACCGTTACACTGATGCAATTTACAAGGAATACAACTGATTGGTGGCTAGCAAATGGTGTAACATTGCAAGATACTAATTCGACCAATATAACAACAACGTTTTTTGAATTGGAAGAAATGAATTTGGGTTTGATCGATAACAACAATATGAAAACGTTTTTGCTTATATATCTCGGATTCGCTTGCCTCAATACCGTTTTTACCTTATTAAGAGCGTTCATATTTGCGTACGGTGGTATAGTAGCTGCGAAAACGTTTCATAAGAAGTTGCTTAGAACCGTGTTACAAAGTAAATGCGTATTTTTCGATGTAACACCTCTCGGAAGGATTATTAACAGATTTTCGAGCGATACGTACACGGTAGATGATTCATTGCCTTTTATACTTAACATACTATTAGCGCAGCTGTTTGGATTACTCGGATCGTTAGTTATAACAGTTTACGGTTTACCTTGGATATGCGTGATTCTAGTTCCGCTGATTCCAATATACACATGGTTATTAAATCAATATCGTATGACGTCGAGGGAATTGAAGAGAATATCCAGCGTTACCTTATCACCGGTATACAATCATTTCAACGAAACCTTGCTGGGATTGATGCATATCAAAGCGATGCGTGCCGTTGTCAGGTTCCAACGTGAAAACGAAGAGAACATCGAAGCTAACTTGAAAGCCCAATTCGCCAGCCAAGCCGCGGCTCGTTGGTTAGGTTTGCGATTGCAGTTAATCAGCGTGGCTATCATAACAGGCGTAAGTCTGATTGCTGTAATTCAGCACCAGTACGATATCGCCAATCCAGGTTTTATCGGTTTAGCGATATCGTACGCTTTATCCATAACGAGCAGCTTGGCTGGAGTGATAAACGCTTTCACCGAAACGGAAAGGGAAATGATTGCTGTCGAGCGTCTAAATCAGTATTTAGAAGTGCCTTCAGAGACTGCGTATTACGTAATGGACGCGCCGTTTGCTTGGCCTGGTCAAGGGGTGCTGTCGTTCAAAAACGTTACATTGCAGTATAGAAAAGATTTGAATCCATCGCTTAAGAGAATCTCTTTCGAAACAAGACCGTCCGAAAAAATCGGAGTCGTTGGTCGCACTGGGGCTGGGAAAAGTTCGCTAATAGCCGCTTTATTCAGATTGGTCGATCTGTTGGAAGGTGTGATTAGCATCGATTCGATAGATATCAAGAATCTATCGCTAGCGACTCTGAGATCGAGAATGTTTTGCATACCGCAAGATCCGTTCCTCTTCAGCGGTACTTTACGAGCAAATTTGGATCCTTTAGGCGAATTTACCGACGACGAAGTGTGGTCTGCCTTAAGAAAAGCGAACCTCTTTGATACAATCGACTCTCTTGGAGGTTTAAAGTGTTGCATCGACGGTAGTGGCTCCAATTTCTCCGTAGGGCAAAAGCAATTGATTTGTCTCGCCAGAGCGGTGCTACACAATCCGAAAATTTTATGCATCGACGAAGCTACGGCTAACGTGGACGAAGAGACTGACAAAATCATTCAAAATGCTTTGAGGACCGCGTTTAGGAATAGCACGGTAGTGACTATAGCTCACAGGGTGCAAACTATATTGGATTCGGATCGTGTGCTGGTTATGCATCAAGGCGAAATCGTTGAATTTGATAGTCCGGATGTGTTGATGAGCGATTCAAATTCGTACTTCCATAAATTAGTTGAAAATAAATAGTTATTTTGTGATACAGTAATATATATAATTTAAATAAACTTTTTTTGTATTAATAATTAGATTCTTAATTCCGACCAGAATACTCAACGCTTCAATATTTCATAAAAATATATCTCCTAGCAGGTAAAAAGAACACAGATTCATAGATTAGAAAGAAATTAAGTTTACCTTTCAAAATCTCAGTGACTGTAAAATAGTATTAATACGAAATGAATATAGATCGTAAATCTCGTAGAATATATACATGGTGATACTTTTCAACTGTAAAAGTCGTTAAAAAAACTCAAAATAAAGATCAGAATTAAATAATCTAAATCTGGGCCTGGACTTGTGTATGAAAAGTTAAGCTAAAGATCTTTATCATTTTTTTTATTGTTATGAATCAAACTTTATTATGTTCTGGTTAATGTAATTCAGATTTTTTTTATTTTATACTTCTATACAGAGTTAAAAAATATCAACCTATATATTCTAAGGTAAATTCCAACGACGAAAAACTACCAGATTAATCCGTTCATTCATAATTGAGCTCTTATTTATTGCAAGCATTCAGATTGTGTTTTGTACCAGGCAGACAGCTGTCGCATTAGAAAGAGCGAGATGACCGTCAATTTGAGTGGGGATGGTTTGCGCAAGCACACGTTGAATAAATGAATCGATAAGTACGGCTACAATGCTTGCTTTACACTGCTGTTATGGATACTTAAATTGCGCAGTTTCCTGGAAATTTACTTCAATTCTGATAGTTGTAGAGAGAACAAGTCATTAATTTGATAATAACTGGCATTAGGAATGTAAATATACTCTTTTGAAAGCTTTTTGTACGTTTTAGAGTCTTATGTTAAGTCAATTTCGAATTATAACTACTAACAATCCTTCCATATTCATTCTTAATAATTCAACTACGTGGATGACATCGCGAATGTTTGCAATTCGGTTTTTGTAAACGTAATAAGTATTAGTCATTATTAGACCCCTTTTCATAATCTGATTAGTGATTTAAACTACCCACTTTCCTGAGCTGATTAGTGTTCTACGAAAAAGGCCATATAGATGTAAATTAAAAAAAAAAGAAGACTGACAGCACCAACAAATGTCAACAAATAAATTTGAATAATTTAAAATACATTTTTCTACTATTTATAAATAAATATGGCAATGAATAAAATCGTGAGGGTTTTAAAACCATCCAATGTAAAAGTAAAAGCTATTGCAAATTTAAGTACCAACGTAGAAAGCACATTCGAAGAGGAATATCACAAAAATCATATTCAAATAAATTTGTTCCAAAAAACTTTATTGACTGTGGGAGCTGCTGCTGTATCAATTTTAGATCCATATAGGGGCGATATGATAGCATGTTTAGGAGAAACAACAGGCGAACATGCTGCTAGGTATATAATGAATAAAATGGAAATGTCGAGTGAAGGTAAAAGTAAACTTAATATTTAGGACAGTGTAATGAAGTTATTTGTGCAAATTCAATTAGAGAATGAAACTTTGTGGAATTGCCTCCAGAATTTTTTTATTTTGTAGGTAGTCAGATACTTTCTGAACGACCTAGAATCAATACAAAAACAGTAGACATGGATTATCTAGCAAAATTGCCAGAAGGCACATTAGGAAAGGTTTACAGCAACTTTTTGAAAGTAAATAATGTCACGCCTGATAGTAGATCGCCTGTTCAGTTCGTTGACGATCCAGAATTGGCTTACATCATCCAAAGGTATAGAGAAGTCCATGATTTAACTCATACAATATTACAAATGCCTACACATATGCTTGGAGAAGTTACTGTGAAATGGGTGGAAGCCATACAAACTAAATTACCCATGTGTATAGGTAATTAATAGTACACGATGGGTACATCTTAAATATGTAATAATTATTCTTTTAGGAGGAGCTATTTTTGGACCATTAAGGTTGAAACCTAAACATCGTCAGCTTTATTTGAAATATTACTTACCTTGGGCCATCAAAACGGGTACAAATGCAGAATTTCTCTTAAATATTTACTTTGAGAAAAGATGGGAGCAACCGCTTGATGCATTCTATGAAGAAGTAAACATTGAACCATTGGTATTAACAAAATGAACTAATCTGTCCAGTTTTTGTTTTAGATTAAAAATAGAAAAATTGTTATATATCGAATACATTTATATGATTTTTGTTAAGATTATTTTTTTGTTTATATTTCTTGACGTTTATTTAAATAGTATATAAATCAGTTATATTAATAAAGTGTTACCTAATTTTCTGTGAAAAAAGTATGTAAAACTACAGGGTTTACAAATAAAATTAGGTCAAATAATTATTTTTCGTTTATTGAGAAAATTGCACAAAAGCCTTACTATCCTATAGAAAAAAAATCACATACATAAAATACTAATCTAGATAGTTGAAAGTGGGTGGTTCGTACCTAATTCTCCTCTTGCAATAGTAGAGGATAAATGGGTGCACAAAATGTGCAGGTCATTGACCTACATATTTGTTATTTATTATATTATATATATTTATTAACTAAGACATAGTAAATAGAAATGATAAAGCTCGAAACAAAATAATACTTAAAAGTAATGGCAAGACACAGGTTTTTGGTGAGTATTTTAGAGTACGCGAATACATATTTGAACTTTAATTAAACAATCGTTTTCAAAATATAATACTGATCGAAATATATAAAAAAAGGCAAAAATCTCCAATACATCTACAAAAAAAAAAATGTTTTGCAGAATTAATATATTTTCAAACTTTAACAGTCTTTAGGCTCAGATCTACGGTCATAAATCAATTTTTAAAAATCATTTCATCCAATAAAAATAAAATAAAAAGAGTATGTATGGATGACCGGATTTAAAATCACAGCTCAAAATTTTGGGAGTTTTTTTTTTAAATGACTAGAATTTTTTCAAAAAGCCGTTGTAGACTGGCCTTCTCCGTACTTATGCATAAAATGTCCATTACGTTCACTTAGATACAAACTGGTTATCATTTTAATTTTTCATAATTATATTACTAGAAATTTAAATAATTAGAAACGAAATTTGGAAAAAATTAAAATGATAACCATTTTGTTTATAGAATTAACTAACTAAAAATATAAGAGAGTTATGTCAAGTTGTGCTCAAATAGTCCAAGAAATATTTTTAAAAATAATACATACCTATTCTAACAGTATTAAGTACGACATATCACAAAGAATACATTGATTTATTTTATGATAATGAACAATTAGTATTGTTAAATTACGAGAAGAGCTGAAATAATGTTCAAAATTTGTTTTGTATCCATTCAAATTTAATTTTCTACCTAATTTTTGAGATTCGTTCAACTATAAAATTTTGAGTTTTTAAAAGAAATAGAAGTTAGAAATCTATCTTAATATTATTTATTTTCCTAGAGAACTTTTAGCAGTCTATCATTTCCATTTTCAAACCAAATTAGACGTTTAATACGTCAATGCTGTTTCTGGAAAAACTATGGAAAATGTGAGAAAATCAACATCAAATGTAGATGAAGTGATTAAATGATAAATGATCATAATGTAAAGAAAAAATTAAGATATTGTCCAACAGAACAAAGTAAGAATATTTGACAAATATGTGGAATAAACTCCAATTAAAAGGGACACTAATATGAATTTTAACTGTCACAAATAAATTGTCGATAAGACAAGTTCTAGAAGAAAAATTTAAATAAACAAATTGATTTACAAGGCAAACAATTTGATTTTGGGAAATTATTGACCTGTCAAACATGTGACCAATCGGCTGATGGTAAGATCTTGAAGTTCATGTTTAATAGGCCATTGCTGTTTCTGGAAAAACTATGGAAAATGTGAGAAAATCAACATAAAATATAAGGGAAAATTAAGATATTTTCCAACAAAAAGTAGAAATATTTGACAAATAGATGGAGTAAACTTCAATTAGAAGAAACATTAATATGAATTTTAACTGTCACAAATAAATTGTCGATAAGACAAGTTCTAGAACAAAAATTTAAATAAACAAATTGATTTACAAGGCAATTTAATTTTGGGAAATTATTGACCTGTCAAACATGTGACCCATCGGCTGACGACATGTTTAAAATACTTGATCTATCTCTTTAAAGACCAAACGACCTCTGGTGGTTTTTTTAGAACTATCCTCATATTAGGAACATCATTTCTTTTGTTTTTATATGGGATACGATCGAAGTTAAAACATATAATAACTGTCATACTATAAAAACCTTGTTTACTATAAATATAAAGGAAAGGGAACTTAAAATTACGCTTTATATCCTTTTAAAGGATGTCTTCTTCCATTACAACAAGCTGCCTATAATGACTATTAAACTTGTACATTGTTCACTGGTTGCTGTAGCGTTTGAAAAGTATCAAAAGAATAATTGATTGTACTTTACATTTACAAACAAATACTTGTCATAGAGAGAGAGAGAGAGTGAGGAACAACTTAAGCGTCCTCATATCGGTGTTTGTCTTCGTTCTTCCATGAACTTACTTGTATATGTGGAGGAGGTAAGAAACTTCTCAATGATTGGATAAGCTGAATAGTATCCATTAGTGCTGGAATTTTAAAACAACGCGCGAATTAGTTCATATGTTCAATCGCAAATCAAATTATATAAGGTTATTGGTTAATTCAGATAAGATCAAAGCTACTCAAATCATAATCCGAAAGCCGCTGCAATAGGGCTCTCAAGAATTCACCTCGGATTGTCATCATGATAAGGTCTAGACTGGTAATCGCCAACCTGAAGCTACTTACATAATGTTCGAATAGTGAGCTACCTAGTTGTAAGTGAAGTAAGACATAAATGTGTGAGCTACCAGAATTGGCTTTGGGAGCTACCAGTCTAGGCATTAAAAATTCGAATAATCATAACAGACGACTTACTTTTCTGCAAAGCCTCCGATTGCTTGCCGTATGGCTTACACATAGCCGGACGGACGTACGTCTTCATTCTAGCCATATTTTTCATAACCTCGCTAAATGCTCGCACTATTTTCTCCTGTCCCCCTTCGGACAGATTCTTTTCAGTTGGCGTCGATGGTGCGTTCGTATTGGGAGTCCACGCTCCGTTGTGGAGAGCTAACAGATCCTTGTTGGAGGATGATAATCCTTAATAATAATTAACAATAAATAATTAATAATCAAGCAATAATCAACAATCATCAATGAATAATTAATAACAATGAATAATAATTAATAAATGCTTGAAATAAAAATAAACTCACCTTCCAAATTCTCCAAATTTGCTCTCAAAAAATCAGTAATTTTGTGCTCCATCAAAGGCAATTCAAAGTGTTGCTTTTGCTGTTGTTGCTGTTGTTGTTGTTGCTGCTGTTGTTGTTGTTGTTGCTGTTGTTGTTGTTGATGTTGCTGTTGTTGTTGCTGCTGGTGTTGTTGTTGCTGCTGGTGTTGTTGCTGGTGATGCTGTTGTTGTTGCTGCTGTTGTTGGTGCTGCTGTTGTTGTTGTCCCTTGGCTATGTCGAGCTGTTGTTGCAACTGGATTTGTTGACGCTATTTTTACCGATAAATAATAATCGGTTTCAAATTTTGAAAAAATATGGAGCGAAAATTGTTAATATTAGAATTTTTACCTGTTTTTCCAAATTGGCGTTCAGCTTCTCGATGTTTTGCTGAGCGATGACACGGTTTTGTTGTTGGATCAAAGCTGCTGTTATCTGTTGTTGAGTTGGTGCAACAGATTTAGGTCTTTCCATTAGAGGCGGATTGGGCTTAACCTCCAAGCTGTTTTGTGCTGCCAAATCTGCATTCAAACCTGCAGAAATTTAGAATGAATATTCTTTATTCACCTTTATAGGTATTATATATAGAACATAAATATTCCATGCATAATTTAAAAGCATTTTTATAGAAAACATTAAACAATTTATGCTCACGAGATCTAATATCATTGGAACTGGTTTGTGATTCTCCTAAATAACTGGCATTCAGATGCTGTAAAGTTTTCTGTGTAAGCTCCATTTGGCTCTTGTAATATCTGCAAGCCGGATTTGGACAGTTTTGAACTACTTCAATGATAAATTCCTTCTCCATGCCAAAATTTTCCCTTCCGATGGTGTAAGAATCCATAACCTATTAAAATAAGCTTAAACTATCTATTTTTTGGTCATTGTTTAATTTGAGCCTTTTTTGCTTATGAAAAAACTAAGCATACGTACTTGTAGATATTACTATTGTAAATAAAAATCTTAGTTCCATATTTTATGTAAATTAATAATTATTTTTTAAAATAGAATTATGTCACAAATTATCCCAAATCAAAGCTCAGAGATGCTACTTTGAAGTATTACACTGTTGCCGAGTCGCACAAAAAGTTTACTGTTCAATTATTTATTATCAAAAATACAGCAATTCTTTACCCTAACAAATTTTTTATAATATTATGACTATCGACGTTGTTTTTACCCACCCAGGGCCCCCTATTCACTTCATTTCCAGTAAATGGCACATTTTTATTTAAAAAAATTATTTGTCTCATTATTATGTATTTATAGATATATCTATAAATATTTATTGAAGTAGGATAAACCTAATATACAAAAAAAAAATTATAGAAATACAAATACAGTACACTTAAAAGAAAAATAAATTTGTTACACATTACAAAGATATTTTTAATCTTGAGTTTAGACAGCCTTAATTAACAATAAAACAAATAACAGTTGAAAGCATGAACCCAAATATTAAAAAAGAAGAATAAAAAAGTAATAATCAAATATATAAAAGTTAAAATCAAATTTTATAAGTTTTAATAAAAGTTGTCAATTTTTTTTTCTTGCTAATGAATTACAATCCTTCAAGCCACTGGGCAGTTCATTATATTCTTGGAAACCTTTATACAATGACGATGCCTGTGATTTCAAATAATTAACTTTTTTAATGTATATATCCTTAATCTTGTGCTCTAATCATGAATATCCCCATGATAACAAATAAATTGATGAAAATAGGATGGAGCCAAAGAATGAATTATTTTATAAATAAATATAATTGTCAAGTAGTACAACCTTTGCTGAATTGAAAACCATTGAAGATAATTTAACATTGTGACAATTGATGTAAGAAAATTTATTATTAACAGGCAGTGCCCAATATCTTTACACTTTGGATAAAATAAGTACCTATAAGTGAATTTAATTTGGTGCAAAGACCCCATACATTCTGATAATAAAGAAGTACATCTTGATATTTGGTTACTTACTTTATTAGTTGCACAAGATATAGCACTTGTTTACAATAGCAATACCTACAAATATATCTGTACTGTAGAGGTAAAGAATCATGTCTCAAATGTTATAGATCTAGATAAAATGAGATCTAAACTAAAGTTGGTCATATGACTTTTGATCTCCTTAAAAAATGAAACTACATTTTTTCTAAGTGTACTACATCAAAACTTAGTAGTTAGGTATATATACGATTTTGTTACACACTAAAAAATATAAGTTTTATGTATTTCAGTGAATTCAATTTTATGAAAAACTGGAGATACAATTTTTTACCTTTATGGTACAGATGCTTAGTTATTCCGTAATAAAAAAAAACTCAAACTAGACATATATACTTTTTTTTTCAATTAGTGTTACTTACAGCCCTAACTGTAGCTTCAACGCCTAAATGCAACCCGTGTGGACCATTCATATGCTTAAGCATAACTGCATTTGCGAAATGTTCGAATGGTAGAATAATTTTGCCATTTTCTCTCAAAATCAATCGTCCTTGAGAGTCTAGAGTTACTCTAGATGCCATCATTCTAAATAAAAACTTACATATTCAACAAAAAGCAATATGAATACAAAAAAAATTGTTTTATACATATTAATACATAACCTAAAAAATAATGTTTCTTTGGGAGTTTTATGTTTTAATGTTAGAGATGGATAAAAAATGAACAATTTTATTAATAAATAAATAATATAAGAATTAAAATGCTATAATAAAACTTTATTAGGGACTCTTTCAATTTAATAACACCAGATTCAATTTTAAGCATTTTAGTATTTTTAAATCAGACTTATAGCGTTTTAAAAATATAATTATTGTAGTACTTACTGCAAATAAGCAGCATTAGGAAGCATTGAAGTCTCTTTTAATTCCGTGAAGCATTGCAGGAGTTCAACGGACGGATTCCAGCCCTTGTTTTGCAAATACAACTGCAACAACATATACAATTTCTCCGTAACATAACCTGTACCAGGAAAACCCATATTTGCGGCTGATGGTAAATCATTTACGGAAGTTTGTTGCATTCCTTTGGCTAGTACGTTTTTCATAGTTTCCGCTAAATCCATCGTTTTTATGCTCGTTTCCAAAATATATTGCAAGTGGTTATAACTAAAGTTGACTCGTAAAAGTATAGCGATAGCTGTCTAATTGGGACTTCCTATTAACATTTTTTTCACTTCCTTATTATTAGTATAGAAACATTTTACACCCACCGAGTTTAGTAAATAATTAATTAATTAATTGTATCACAGATTGTATTCGCGAATATTACGGCATTTGTGTGATGGGTGATGCAAATGCAGAAGAGAGAAAGGAGAAATCGAGAAGGTAGAAGATATTTTAATATTTCGATACAAGAGCCATCTATTTTTAAAATGGCAAACCACGCTTGAAAATACAATTTTAATTTATTTAGATACTGTAGAGATGGCGCTCATTTTGTCATTATAGAAACTTGTCTTGAAAAGAACTTAATTCTTAACATTCTTTTAAAGATGACGCAACGAAAAGCACTTCTAGAAAATAAGGGTGAGATTACAGAATGTCTGCAACTTTGCAGATCTAAAACTTTGCAGATCTGAAACTTTGCAGATCTGCAAATATGGCGGACTTACAAATGCAAGTATTCCAAAAAATATCTGCAAATTCGCAATATTTATTGTGGTTTATTACCCCCAACAACACTAAACCCAAATTTGGAATACGAAAACTTGATACTTGCATGTGTTGAGTAAGTCATATTTGCAGATTTGCAAAGTTGCCGCCATATTTGCAGATCTGCAAAGTTGCAGACGTTCTGTAATCTGTAATCTCATCCTAAATAGACTGTGGGGTGTAGAGGTAAGGCGAACTATCTCTGTACACGAAAAGTATCCCTCAAAATGTATAAAATTAAGATGGCGCTTCGGTACAGTGGATACACGAAGTATAATATACAAGGAGTCCGAACGTAATGTTGAATAAATGGCATCAAATTGGAGAACAGACTTTTTGCCAGTAGGGCGCGCCACTTTTGAAAGAGTACTATTAACCAGGGCTGGTATATCTTAGATATACCAGCCCTGCTATTAACTGAAAATTAAACAAATTTATTAATCAAGTATTTGTCAAAAACAAATTTTTAATATTATTTAGAGGTTACTCACTTTCGGTGCTTTGAATACAGCCACTTTTAATAAATTCTCATTTACCTTTCGGTACGTCCTGAATATTTGCGCAGCCAGTGGCAGAAAAAAGAACTAAGATTTGGGTTTAATATTTGGGTACATGAATCCTACAAAAAAGTCTATACCGTTCGGACGCCTAAATCCTTTGAATACATATATATTCAAAGCCTAAATCAGATCAAACAATGACAGTAATAAGTTATTATATAATAGTTATATAGGTATGCTCACCCGTAGTAGAGGTAAGGGTGTATGTGCTAGAAGGGTATATACTAAAAATTACATCGTGAAAAGCGATTGAGCTTATAATAATAGAAAAATTTTGATAATGGACGACAATAGTGCTTTTCGTCGTCTGATTTACATATGGGTGAGCTATCTATATAACTGTATATCATTGGCTCTTTCTCTTCTAAGTACACGAGCGCCATGAAGTGTACATATTTTGGGGGACACTTTTTGAGATAAACAACCGTATGAGATTGTCCTCCTTTTCTCCTACACTCCATAAATTAAACAAAGGACATTCCAACAACTTGTCAAAATGCTGCTTGTGGATAATGACAGGTTATGTTATGGCCCAACCACTTATAATTTCTTAATAAAAATAAACTCTTTTTTTAGAGATTGAATTAATAACGTTTTATTATCGGTTGCTACAACAAGTCTAATAAAATATATACAATATGCATCAATGGAGGTATTTCGTTACAAAATAACCAACAAGATTGCTCAAAGCTGGTCATTTTGCTAGATGCCATTTTACCTACCAACCTCGCAAGTGCTCATTAATCAAAATCGGTTTAGCAAAAATGTGTTTTTCTAATTTTGACATATAAAGTGACATTTTTTTGTAATCGCAGCAAGTGTTAAAATGATCTACTTTACGCAACCAGTGGCATAATGTTGAACATTGAAAACAATTCCAAAAATTTTAATATTTCCAAAATAATTTGGACATCCTGTATATACTTTGACTTAGGCTAGCGCTATATCAGGCAAAAGTTTACCTGCTTGCAGAGATCCAGCAGCAAAACGTTTTCGGCAGACGAATTTTATTTTCTTATCATTTCTTAGGTTAAGAGCAATTCATTTTACTCGCAAAATAGACGTCGCAACGCCTGGCGATCTGCAACCTGCAGCCTATTGTAGCACTAGCTTTATTTTGTCTCATCCCAGCGTTTTTACTATCAAGTCACCTGTGCTTTGTTATACCCAAATATGGTCAATAAAAACAAATGACTTAAGTAAATTAAATGGCGACTTATTGTGTTACAGTGCATTTTTTAGAAACATTTTTCGAGAAATAATATCCTAATTTATCTTTTTTCGTGATTAAATTATGAAAATCAGTGTTCCTAGTACGTTAGGTAAGATTTTTTATATATGAATTACTAATTTCTGTCAAAATTTACTGGAATATCGGGATCTTTGAAACATGACATGACGCCTTGTTAGGTACCTACCTATCTTTTAATGTTGAGTAAAAGTTGTTGAACTTTTTTATTCAATTTTTCGATTTATTACCGGTTTTTGATATCTAAATTCTATTTTATTTTGATGAACTAATTTTTGATTGAAGCCCCAGGTATATTTCATACAATAATTGCTTTTTTTTAATTAGTCTGTGGCTGACACAAAAGCAAGTCAATATGAGATAATGGGATAGATTGTTCTAAGGAAAAAAGTGAAGAATGTTTTTCCAAGCTTTTATCTTGAAATAATAATATAATTCACTTATTTTTATTAATTTAATATACCTACATTGAAAAAAATACATTTTTTAGAAAGGTGTATAGTAAAAAAATGTTCTTTCTCTTAAATACAGGGTGTCCCAATGAAAAGTAGCTCATTTCCAGAGCTTACAACTTTTAAACACACGTAGAAACGTGCGGTTTTTACTGATATGTGTTACTTTGCTATAAGTTTTGCTTCAATGACACAGAAATTATGTATTACCTATTAAAATTAAAATCTCCGTAACCAAATTTAATCAAATAGAAACGGGCTACTTTTCATTTACTTTCCTGTATTTAGTAAAGTGTAGGAATGGGATTTTACGGTGAACTGATTAGATTTTGAGCACAGTCGGCGCATCTGGGAATACTCGGAAGGGATAATTTTTTAAAATTAAAGGTATATTTATGTTATTTATGAATATTGAAGAAAATAGTTGCTTATGATATCATTTTTTATAATTTTTTTGTCTTGTACATGAATCATAATTTTCATAAAAGGACCGTACTGGAGAATTTTGAAGAAATCTGCATAATTTGAAATATTAAATTTTTTTTGTTATTATTGAAAATACAAAAAAAGTTTTCTTTATCTTTAATTCATATTATAAATTGTGTTTGATTGGATGGGCCGTACTCTATATTTTTGATAAATTTACAGGAGACTCATGTGTTGGACACATCATATTTTTTAGTAAGATTTTTTGAAGTTGAATGGTAAATCAGTGGCGTAGCTCGGATAGAGCAGATTCGGTGTTTTAATAGGGCAAATTTTAGAAAAAAATTGTTACTGATTAAGAATATTTGAATGAACGACATCACTTATTTAATAAAATATTAAATATACTATTAAATACTCTTCGCACAGTAATCTGTAGTAAAGGGGGGTTGAAATTTAAAATAAATCATAATTCAAAAAGGAAAAACGATATTAACTTGAAATTTTCAGGAAAAATAAAGCTTTATAAGAGGATGAGGTCTATAAATAAAAATGGGGAGTTCAGAGAAAAATCATAAATCAATTACTGAAAACCAAGCACTATAAGGGGATATTGATTCTGAGGCGGTTAAATGGAGGTTAAAGAGGGTTAAGGGGGGATAAGAGAAATAAGGGGTGAAGGGGGGTTAATGGGGGTTGAGGGGGTTAAGGGGATATGTTAAACTGTGAAAAGCAGTATAATATAAAATGTTAGGCATTCTTTTTACTTTCCTCGAGTTTTCGACGGATTTTTACGTTTTGAGGTCCCCTGAATCTGTTTTGACTATTTTCGCGATGATGTTTGTATGTGTGTGTATGTGTGTGTGTGTGTGTGTGTGTGTGTGTGTGTGTGTGTGTATGTATGTGGGTGTGTGGGTGTGTAGGTGCGTGGGTGCGTGGGTGCGTAGGTGCGTGGGTGCGTGGGGGCGTGCGTGCGTGCATATTTGAGAAAATGTCTAAATTTAGAATTTTGAAGAAAACTCAAAAACGGATAAAGAAAAAACATTAAATTTTAAACTTAAGTTTTATTTCGGCCTGACGTGAAATGATTAGATTTTGGACAAAGTCGGAACATCTGGGGGGGTACTTTATGAGAGGCGGTTTTTATATTTTATGGAATATATCTGTTATTTATGTTTGGAGAAGAAAATTGTTCAAATAAAAGTTACTTCTAATATTATTATCTATAATTTTTGTTTCATGTCAAAATTTCTCAAAATGGTCCGTATTCGACAAATTTGACAAAATGTGCAAAATTCTGATTTTTATGAAAATTGTTGAACTAAAAATTGTTTGCGATATCGATCTCTATAATTTTTGTTTATACATGATTTTTCTAAAATGGACCATAATGGAAAAATTGTAGGAAAAGTGCTAAATTTAAATTTTTCAGAATTTTCGAGTTATATGTATGTGGAAAATGTATATATTAAGTTAACCTCTAAATATTTACAGAGGTGCTACAATAGGTTATACAAAATAACCAAAGAAAGCCCGTAATAAGGGGGCGTCCATTAATTACGTGAGGTATTTTTGAGAATTTTTTGACTCCCCCTCTCCCCCTGTCGAGATTTCGTAGGATTTTCCTTAACTCCCTCCCCCCTTCCCTAATCTCACGTGAGATTTTTCAAAATTCGTGTTTTGGGTGTAAATGTGTTGGATTATTAAAAAAAAAAAACAAAAACACAATATGTTCCATTACTTTTATTTAAGACTAGCAAAGACTAGTGTTTGAGTGTTGCAATTATTTAAAATCACACTTCCCAACCTTCAATGACGTTAGTAATGACAACATTACATATATGGTTGTAAATAAACATAATTATAAGATTTTTCGACGCCCCCTAACTAGATAGGAAAGTCATGTGTTGGACACGTCAGATTTTTTTATTTAATTTATTAATAATAAAGTTATTGATAAATATGATTCTGTTTAATGAAAAAACTATTTATTATTACAAGATTCAGTAAGTAATTTGAATATTTAATAATATTCAACTATTGTTAAATATTCTTAAAATAATAATGTTGTTTTTGAATAATAATTGATTGTTATTTGACTACCAAAACATGCTTTTACTATTAAATATTTTTCTTTTGTTTTGAAACTTACAAGTATTCGAGAAAAAATATTTTATTAAAAATTTGATGGGAGAGGGGGCGGAAAATGTGATATCTACCCCAAGCAGCAAACATATATTTTTTTAAAAAATAAAAATTACGTTATATAAATTTTGAGCTATTTTCTGGTAACCTCAAGAGCTAATTTTATTTTTTTTTATATTTCCATTAATAATTTTATAGTTTATATCACAGGAATGACAACATTCGGAATATATTTTTATTATTGATATCTCAGAAAAATATCTCGTAAAAAGTTTGAAAGCTTTGCCTAAAATCGATTATTAAATTAAAAAAAAATATATTGCTTACCTACGAGGGAAGTCAAAATACTAGATTGTACAATAGGTGCCCAATGCGTTAATTATAGAAAACAAGAATTTCGAACGGAATTAGGATTCAAATATGTTTAAATTTACTATAAAATAATTCAAAAAACCCCAAAAATGCTCAAAATTCGAAAAACCATTGCCCAATCTAATTTCGATTTTGAAAAGAATGGTAAATCGACAGGAAGGCGAAATACATATCCAAGAATATTTAGATTTATATTTCAACGTTTTTCCACATCCTAAAATAATTATAATTAGCCCAAATGGTGGGACAAATCGAAAATTACTATTTTCAAATCTAATTTCGATTTGTAAAAAAATCTGATGTCAACACATGATTTTACTGTCTAGTTATTGTAGGATTTTTCCGGTTATTTTGTACAACGTATTGTACATCCATTGTAAATGTTTATTGCCGAGAAAAATACTGAAAAATTCAAAATTTTACACTTTTCCTCAAATTTTTCCATTACGGTCCATTTTAGAGAAATCATGTATGAAACAAAAAATATAGAGAATGATATGGCAAATATCTTTTATTTTTTCCAATCGTAAATAACAGAGATATTCCTTGAATGCGATTACTTTTTGGGATGCACTGTATAATAGATTGCGACGTGCTCTTCGAGCACGTCGTTAACAATAATATCCGAGTACATTTTGTTGTTAACAACGTGATATTCAACGTTTCCATACAACATACAAATTTTGCTCTACTTATACTGTATTTTATAAATTTGAATTTAAATAGCGGGACATTTGAGTATTTTGATGTGGCGCGTGGCAGCAAGTGAAAAAGCATGATAATCTCGCCTAAACTAGGGCGTCTAACAACCCTAGTATGATACCTACCAGAAAGGTACATATAAATATATCACACTTTGATTAGAAAGTTGCATTTTTGCTAAAACAAGCAGACATTTTTAACAGATCGGTTTTTCTTATTTTCCAAAAGTTGACAAAAATAGAACCGCCCAATTCTTGAAGCAAGATTCCAAATTGCTGAATTTTTTAGTTTTCTTCTATTAGTAACCTCTTATTTTGACATTTTAAACATTCCTTATTAATTATTGTTTTTATTTTCAGGTAATTTCCGCAAAAACAAGTTTAAATCGCCGCAAATTTCTCGAGTCAATCGGTAGCACGACATCAACGGTTTAAGCTCATGTTCATTTCACCTCTGACAATAAAGACGTTTAATCTTGGAATGTATGTCCTTTGATGTTTAATGTAGATCTTTGATTTATATTATACTGTCTTAAGATGTACCTTCCTGAATTAAATGGACAAGGCTGCAGATATACTTGCCGGAGATACATCTACGTATCAAAGGGTTGCTATAGAATTGAACATGACGATGATCATTAATGTCGTCGGGAAAAGAAGATTTTCCGGACACGCGTTTGAATCGGGAAAAATGGAAGTTACCGAGAAGGTGTAAGGAAAATTGGAAAAACAAATGGGATAGAGAGTGAAAGAGGAATAAGCGTCTTCAAATGGTAAGTTTTTGATTTATATATAGTTTTTTCTATAAAAAAAATTTGATGGCTCTTTTTATTTCTATTAACATTTTTTGTACGTTGTTTTAGGAAGAATGAGTGGCTTCAAATGGTAAGTCTTTTGTATAATGATTATTCGAAATTTTTGCTTTTTACTGTGTTTAGAATACAATTTTTTAAATACAAGTTTTGAGAAATTTGTACAAACTTTTAATTTCAATTAAGGTTAAAATGTTATTCTATTGAAGTGTGCTAAAGTACATCAACCCAAAATATTTAAATTTCATAGCATGGCCCTTTTTATAAGGGTAATAATCGTCTAAAGATAAATTTGATTTAAAAATACAACGTTAACATTAAAAAATCTAACGACAATGCTGCAAGGACTTGCAGGATGTCGCTTTAAAGTTCTCTTTAACACGACACACGACACGAACATTCATAATTTAATTACTTCATCAAAATTGCACAAATTGGCTTGTCGTACCCTTTCAAACACACAAAAATCGACGCTTTATAAGCGGAATGTAACAAAAATCTAATTATTAGAAGTGCTTTACTTTCATTACTATGTATTATTAAAAGGGGGCGGTTGACCGAAACGTCATCAAAATATCATACCTTGCAATTTTGCCATCTATAACCCGATTCGATAGAGACGAATTTGGCGTGAATCAACTTCGATATCAGTGCTTTTTCTGAGGGGTAGATTACCACGATTCTCCCCTATACGAGGGGGAATCTAATGAATATTTGTAGAACATGGAACGACTGAATTCCTTACGGGTGGCCAATTTTTATTCGATGGGATAGGCTAGGAATTTCATTTTGAGTGGGTGACTCATTCGAGGAATTTCATTTTCATACGAGGCGAGGTCGTAAATTTTTTAGGAAGAATTTTTATTTAATATGTAGCTAGTTTCTTTATTAGGGGAAAAAGTCTTGCTATTGGACATCTAGAATAGCTAGGAATCACTTAATGTTTTCTATATAGAGCTATAATAGTATATATTTCGTTTTGACCTCGGTTTTGACTTACTAAACAGAAATCACAATAACAAGATCAACCATTTTCATAAAATTTATTGTATTACCAATAGAACTGAAATCAGATCACGTGGAATACAGATATATGTAAAGGATTCAACTCTAATTAAAATTATACAAGTACATAACACGTTTTTTCGTTTAATTATGAACGTAAATATTGATTACATATTGAATAGTCTTGAAAAAGTACCAAAAAGTCCTTCCGGTTCTTGTTTTTGTGGAATATTTCGACGCGAATCATCAACTTTCAAGTTTTCCAATTCGTCAAAACGATCTTGATATTCAGTCATTTTTTGCCTCCAAATTACTGAAATAAAAGCATCAAAATCAAGAAAAATTATTGCAGGTTAAGTTCCCTAATTAGAGTTACTAATATTGGACAGAGAAAATATATTTTTGCAAAAAAAAAGGGAAAGTTTAATATTTAATAACAGTATGAATTTCCTAACACATTAATATATTCACAAAATTATTTTATGCGGGATCGATTTTATGTGGGATCCATTTTATATGGGATCCATTTTATATGGGATCGATTTTATGTGGGATCGATATTATGTGGGATCAATTTTTTAGGTAAAATTGATTATATGTGCGAATTATTTTGTGTGATTTTTATTATGGATCGATTTTATGTAGGGGAGATTTTATATGGAGGCGATTTGGGGGCCATTTTATGTGGGATTAATTATATATGGAAAATATTTTATTTTGTGTTATTCATTTTTATGAAGGATTTAATTTGTTTGATGGATTAAGTTGGATATTATTTGGGAACGATTTTATGTGTCATTTTTGTGTGGGATTAATTTTATATAGGGTCAATTTTGTGTTGTATCAATTTTATGTGCGGTTGATTTTAGGTTGGAATTATTTTGTGAGATTGATTTTTATAAGAGATTAATTTTATGACGGAATCATTTTATGTGGGATCGATTTTATGTAGAATCGATTTTATGTGGTTTCTATTTTATGTGGGACTGATTTTTTAAGCGGAATCGATTTTATGTGGAATCAATTTTATATGGGATTCATTTATGTGGAAATTATTTTGTGAGATTTTGATGATGGATCGATTTTAAATGTGGGAGATTTTATGTGGCGGCGATTTTATGTGAGATTGATTATACGTGGAAATATTTTGTGTGATTGATTTTATGGCATTGATTTTATTGGAGAATTATTTTGCGTGATGGATTTTTATAAGGGTTCGATATTATGTGTGAGCGATTTTATATTGGATTTTTGTGGGGTATGCGATCTATTTTATGTAGATTGATTTTATGTGGGAATTATTTTGTGATTTTTATAATGGATCAGTTTTATATAGGGGAGATATTATGTGGGATTAATTATACGTGGACAATATTTTGTGTGAGTGGTTTTTATAGAAATTGATTTTATGGTATTGATTTTATAGAATTGATTTTATGGGATTGATTTTATGAAGGAATTATTTTGTGTGATGAATTTTTATATGGGTTCGATATTATTTTCGAGCGATTTTATATGGAATCAATTTTATGTGGGGTTGATTTTATGTGGGAATTATTATGATTTATATAATGGATCGATTTTAGGCATGGGAGATTTTATGTCGGTGCGATTTTATGTGGGATTGATTATACGTGGAAAGCATTTTGTGTGATTGATTGTTATAAAGATGGATTTTATGGGATTTATTTTATAGGATTGATTTTATGGGATTGATTTGATGAGGGAATTATTTTGTTTGGTGGATTTTTAAAAGATTTGATATTATGTAGGAGCGACTTTATGTGGGATCGATATTATGTAGGATCAATTTTATGTAGGATCAATTTTGTTGTAGTTGATTTTATGTGTGAATTATTTTGTTTGATTGATTTTTATAGGATATCGATTTTATATGGGATCGAATTTATGCGAGATCGATTTTATGTTAGATTGATTTTATGATGGATCGATTTTAGGTATGGGAGATTTTATGTGGGGGCAATTTTATGTGGGATTGATTATACGTGGAAAATATTTTGTGTGATTGATTGTTATAAATATTGATTTTATGGGAATGATTTTATAGGATTGATTTTATGGGATTAATTTTATGAGGAAATTATTTTGTTTGATGGATTTTAATGTTTAATATTATGTGGGAGCGATTTTATGTGGGAACAATTTTATGTAGGTTAAATTTTATGTGGAATCGATTTTATGTAGAATCAATTTTATGCGAGGTTGATTTTATGTGGGAACTAATTTGTTTGATTGATTTTTATGGGGTGTCGATTTTATGTGGGAATTATTTTGTTGGATTTTTATGTGCAATCGATTTTATGTGGGATCAATTTTATGCGGGAATGATTATATGTGGATTAATTTTATATGGGCATGATTTTGTATCTTAACTGTATCTTACCACACTATCAATATATTATATGTTCTCCAATCACAAGTGGTACATAAAGGTTAGCAAGTTGTAAGAAATTTGAATTTTAAACTAAAGTTACTATTTTATTAATTGGCTTGGGCCTTAGCAATTTAATAAATATACAACCTTAAAATAAATAATACAAAATTACCTTCCAGTTCGTCCAACGATTTCTCATTGCCACCATAATCTTTTGGAAGAATGTCCAGTGGTATCTCCTTTGCTAAACTTTCTTTAGAATCATGTAAATGAAACTGAAAAAGTGTAAGTTTAATTCTATAACCATCTTCAATATCAAATATGTAATAAACTGCATTTAGTGATGACATAATTTGTGAACCAAATAAACTTGTTCATAAACTAAAATATCTAGTGACTGATCTACAAAAAAAAATGTTCCTGAAGTAGGCCATGACTGACAAAAATACACGTTCGTGATAACCATGAATGATTCTGGAATAAATCAAAACTGTCATATAAAAAGAAGAATTATTTTCGCTACTACCAAAGAGGTTACAATCACCAAACTGAGTTAAAAAGAGGGTAATTTAAAAATAAAATATCGCCATCGACAGTTGACATTTGACACTTCGCATACTGTTTTAGTAGATATTGTGGTTCACACAGCTATATAGGATACAATTATGATCGTTTGGTTATTGAGGTAAAGAAATAAGTAGAAAATTATATAGCTTAAATTGGTATTATCAATTTATAATGTTAACAGAAGATCACGCATCACGCCTGACGCTCGGAACTCTAGAGTTAGAATTCCCGCGTTCTGTCATTTGTCACCTGCTTGACCGAATCTAAATACCGCACTATGATCTGCGAGGTTGCCAAGTCACTGACAGTACAATGATTAAGTGCGAAGTCGTTTTTCAGCCATATATTTTTCTATGTTTGTCTTCTAGAATCTTTGACTTATTCGTGTGTTTTTTTTTTCATGATACGTTTATAAAATTGCATCAATTTCTGACCAAATTGAACTAATAGATAGGTACTTACTTTTTCATATAATTCCGGTTTCATTAAAGGTTTACTTAAAGTTAATACGATATGGAAAATAGAAGGATAGTTGATTACATGCAGTTTTCTCACTCTATCGCTGAAAACTTTCTGCAAAAAAAGAATAGAAACAATAAAATTGTAGAAGTAATTAAATATAATTAAATATAATATGTACATTGCACTGGTACCTATCACTATTAATAACAATCTACTAATCAAACATTGGTTGGAGCTATAACTATACGTCTTTTTAATTAAAAAAAAAAACATCGTTTTGGCTAAAAGTAATCTAAACTTAATTCCTAGGTATACACATAAGATGTGGATACATATTTGTTGTAAAAATCTAATATGGCTAAATTAGTGTAAATCCATATTGACATATTTGACATTTGACGTACCTACTGCCCTCTGGCGTAGTTTAATTTGTACTAACCTCCAAAATTTTCGCGCTGTTCATGATGAATTTAGGAGTAATTTTAAATACGTGATTTAGCGATAACTGCTCGTGATCGTATATCACGACACTGTGAAGCGCTACATTTTGTTGCATGTAAATTTCGTGCAAATTTACGCTGGCCGCCAACCAAGAATGTGCATCGAAACCGTCTGGCGTACTAGGGCTTCTCAATTTGATCACTTGCACTGCGTCTAAATTGTTGATCAGTTTCGGCAAGGGCACGATTTGTCTGTAATTTAAAAAAAAAGTAATTTTTACAACTTTATGACGTCAAACTACGGTGTAACTAGAAGAGGTTTCCGTTATTCTAAAAAAATGGCTAAAATTGAATCATTTTTAACTTGTCAGAAATGAAATCGTGAAAATTAGTTTATTCTGACTTCTATCAAATAAAAAATACAACTGGAAACTAATTTTCAACATTCTACATTATTTAGCTAAATTTTAACAAACAATTCCAGACCCGGATTTAATTTTTTTAAATCTGTATCTTTCTTATATTTGAGTTTTTTGAAAAAGTTGTTCATTTGAATGACTCTGTATAGTTTACTATATTTTCAAATTGTACTAATTTTTAAATGAGGTTTAAACTATCTAATGAATTTTACAAATCTAATAAGTTTATTACAGGTGTTATGAACGACTTATCGTAAATTAAAATCTGAATGTAGTAACACTTTTATTTCCAATTTTGTACAACCTTTTCTTGCCGACCATAAATCATAAGTCACTTCCGACAATTGACAACTGACTTAACTTCCGACATTGACAAGTGACAGCTTCCAACATTGACAAATGACATAAGTGCCAAATTTAAATCATGAGAGGCATGTATGCTTATACAAAGCGATGTGACAACGTTACATTTTAGAAGAAATATCACAGTTTCAGTGGTCCTATACAGAGTGAGCGATGTTTGACTTTCACAGCCACTCCTAGTTAAAATAAAAAAAAAACAGAGTGTACCGTGTTCTAAACATAATTACTATAAAACAGAACTTACGTAAACTGTAGCGTATTCTGCATACTGGGTAGACTTGGATTTGAAATTGAAAATACCTCTGGCATTTCAGATCGAACTGTGTAATAACATTCTAATTTTTCTGTAATGGCTTCGAAATCGAACCGCGTCATTACCAAGAAGAATTCTATCATATTGTCGCCTAAAGAAAATATAAAATATTATAATGCATTTTAAATGACTGAAGTTTTCGAGCAAATGTGTTTGTTAGAATTAGTGTTTAATAGTTATAAGTTGGCACCAGCGAGTGTCAATCCAAGTTGACAGATGATTGATCTGTCAACTAGGAACTGACAGTCATTGTACCTAGCAATGTACATTCCAACGTTGAATTAAATATAAAAACAATTTATAATTTCTCGTATTTAATACAAAATAAAAATAGTACTTTACAGGGTTGAGACAGATACAGAAAAATTAGTGTTAATGCAAATGAAGCTCGTGCAACTGAAGATAATGTTGACATTGAAGTTCCGCAGGGATCCGTATTAAGACTATTGATATTTCTTGTATTTATAAACTATTTATTAACAAACATGAACGCAGATTGTATTGTTGTATATGCAGATATTTCAATGGCTTTTTACGAATTCTTCCTAGGAATTTTCAAACAAATTAAATTTTCTCGATAGATAGATAGATAGATAGATAGATAGATAGATAGATAGATAGATAGATAGATAGATAGATAGATAGATAGATAGATAGATAGATAGATAGATAGATAGATAGATAGATAGATAGATAGATAGATAGATAGATAGATAGATAGATAGATAGATAGATAGATAGATAGATAGATAGATAGATAGATAGATAGATAGATAGATAGATAGATAGATAGATAGATAGATAGATAGATAGATAGATAGATAGATAGATAGATAGATAGATAGATAGATAGATAGATAGATAGATAGATAGATAGATAGATAGATAGATAGATAGATAGATAGATAGATAGATAGATAGATAGATAGATAGATAGATAGATAGATAGATAGATAGATAGATAGATAGATAGATAGATAGATAGATAGATAGATAGATAGATAGATAGATAGATAGATAGATAGATAGATAGATAGATAGATAGATAGATAGATAGATAGATAGATAGATAGATAGATAGATAGATAGATAGATAGATAGATAGATAGATAGATAGATAGATAGATAGATAGATAGATAGATAGATAGATAGAATAGTAAATTCAATGAATTAAAAAAATTATAATCATAACTACTAAACAATTCCAAATCATAGAAAAATGTTGGATTTATTTAATTTTTATTGCTTTTTTGAATTAACTTTCTTAAATATTGGAAAAATGCTCGGAACCCTTAAGTGATCCTTACGGAACCCTAAGTCACTGTTTTTTAGTAACGCATCACTTAGTAAATTGAAGAATAACTTACTTGGTTCTTCTGGAAAATGCTTTTGGGTCTTCAACCATATTCTTATCGCCTGCACGCCTTTTTCTAAATCCTCTACTGTCTTGCCTAAGTGCGATAAAATTATTTTCTTATGTTCTACAGGTGTCGGTGAGTATGGTTTCATATCCATTTTGGTTATTTTTTTTTGCAAACCCGAAGCGTTTAAATGAAGGTTGCTTAAATTATTAACTAAGTATAATTTCAGAATTAATTAAAATTTTCCCGTTAATCTGCATCTGAAAATCTTATCGAAGGTCAGGTCGATAAAAAAAAACATGTGCTGTGATACTGGTTAGGGACAGTGTCTGGGTTTGATAAATGCAATTCCTTTACGTATAATGTAACACATAAGTCATTTATCGGCCCATGATTAATGACGAAACAAATCCAAAATAACTCATACAGGGTATTTTTAAACTTGAATTTTTATTATCCTCTTCACACAGTAGTATGTGAAGAGTATTATAGGTTTAAATTAAAGTTTATAAATTTTCGTTAGTGGGTCGTATAAACAATATACTCTACAACTATTTTATTACGTATAATAGGTACTTTTTTTACAATTTTTTGTACTTTTCACATTTTTATATACAAGTGACGCATAAATAAAATTAGAGTCACATAGAAACGACCCTCCATCTACAGTCTATTTGGCGAATCTCACAAAATGAATTTACAATTTTGATTAAAAAAAAAAAGAATAAAAAGCAAATAAACAGTTAATTATATATTTAGTTTCGAATTTAAAATGTTTCACAATTTGTTATAAAAATATAAATATAATAAAAACTTAAAAATAATTAAAATTGATTAATTTAAAAATAACTTAGAAAAGCTGTTTAATAGTCCTTCTGCTAGTTTATTTTCTGGAGGTTCCAATTTTAAATTTTGTAATTCCTCGAATCGGTCCTTGCAGTCGTAAAGCTTTTGTTTCCATGCCCCTAAAAAAATGTAACAAAAAAAATTATGCAGTGTCACATGGATTTTTATTATTATCCAGTTTACGCAAATTTTAGAGTTCATAAACAGTTTTTTTATCGAAACTTATTAAAAATTACGTTAACTTTTTTTATTGATCGTATATACCTGTCAAATTTGACATATCAAAAAATAAATTAAGTATTTTTTAATTTCGAAAAATGTTTTCTATTCACCTACCAAATTTGAACGAATTTGGACTATTTTGGTATTTTTTATTCAAATTTATAAAATCAGAAAAGATCAATTAATATCTAATGTACTCAGACAAAAACAGAATAAATACATTTATTTATCCAAAAATGTATTAGTAAAAAACGAATTGGATCTTACATTCAAGATCTTCCAAAGATTTTTCACTGCCCCCGTAGTCTTTTGGCAGCACATCAAGAGGAACATCCTTTGTTAAACTTTCTACTGAATCATGTAATCGAATCTAAAGAAAAAAAAACTAATAATAATTTATTTATAAAAAACAAGGTTAATTTTACTAATTATTCAGAAGAAGAGCCTGATCTGTCTTAAAAAGACGCAAAACAAAAAACGTATACCGTAAGTATATAATTTTATAAATCAAAACATTTATTACATCTCCTCAATGTACCTCCACGTCCTCCAACTATTTTGTGGGCGTACGAAAAATATCGTACATCATTTGTGCAAAAGTGATTTTTCACACTCGTATTATAATATACTATAGTGTCATTATTGTGTCGTTTCAGAAAACTTAAAAATATTATTGTCAATATCATTAAATGTGAGATCTTATGAAAATAAAATTAAAGATATCCTTAACACAGTGTCTTTTCATAATATGAGTTTTATCTTCTAGATATAGTAATGTTGGAAATATATACAACATATTCAGCTAATTCCTAAAGTCAACCTTGCCCCTGAATCAACTTAAATAAGTTTTAGTTTTATCCTGCTAGATATAATAATGTTGGAAATATATACAACATATTCACCTAATACCTAAAGCCCAACCCTGCCCCTGAATCAACTTAAAAGTAGCGACTTGATTAATTTCGATATATCCATCTCTCTCGCATGTACAACTGCAAGCGATGCATTCATGTAGTTTTGACATCAATAATAAATTAATCATTTGTTTCTTTTTTGTTGCCGTATTATTTCGAGGCAATGAAACTTTGTTTACAATGAAAATGTCAATTAACAAATGTTGTTCTGTCAAAGTACTAGAGTACCAGCCAAAAACATTTAAATTTTATTCCAATTATGAGTTTGAACACATTAAATTATATTTGTATTGTTATTAATTAAATAATTCCAATAATTGTTTATCTATAACTTTCAAGAATTTTAGAATCTTTAAATCTTTAAATTCTTTAGGATTTACAAGTTTAGAAATTAGTCTAGAATTGTAGTAGATGAATTCAATTGTAAGATACTCACCTTTGCGTATAATTCTGGCTTAATTAAGGGCTTACATAAGGCCAAAATAATTTGGAATATTGATGGGTAGTTAATAACATGGATGGCCTTCACTTTGTCGCTGAATACTTTCTAAAAATTAAAATAGGATAATATTTTGTCCCACCACACCAGGTGTTACAAAACATTCCAAAAATGTTAATTTTGGTACGTTTTTTCTTCTCCCTTCGGAAAACCCTCTTGATATCATTCTAATTAGTTTGTAGCGTGGCGGCACTGTAGCCTTCGGCTATTGTGCTACCATTTGAAAAAGCTAGTACTTTCTCAGTCACTCACTCATTCACCGTCATTGATGGGTAAAATACTCACCTCTAAAATAGTCGCGCAGTTTATTATGAACTTCGGAGTGATGTAGAAAACATGGGTCAACGATAGATTCTTGTGGTCATAAATTACGTTGTTATTCAGTACTAATGACTGTTGCATGATTACTTCGAATACGTTTAAAGTTGCAGCAATCCATGACATAGCGTCAAAACCATTTGGTACTGTTGCATTTTTCAGCCTGATTAATACGCATGATTCCGAATTATTTACGAGTTTAGGCAAAGGATATATTTGCCTAAAATTTTAAAAATATAATAATATGCTTGGTTGGATGATTACTTTTTAAACACACCTTGTATGTAAAGGCAAGTAATTAATAGTAAATAAAATAAGTGGAAAAATCTATATATTTAGTTTGACTTACGTAAAATCAAGTGTGTCTATCATACTAGATGAAAGTGGATATGACAGTTCGAACACCTCAGGCATTTCTGTTCTGATTCTATAATAATATTCCAGTTTTTCTTGAGTAACTTCTAAATCGAAATGTGTTATTGTAATGAAAAACTCTATTACAGCGTCAGCTGAAAAGAAAAAAACATTAAAAAATTATATTATCAATATAATAGACTCCGAAAACAACATTTTAGACTCTGTTATAAACAACTTTATACCTCTAAAACAACGTTGGAAAATAGGTTTTAAACAATTTTAGACTCCGAAAATATTTTTAGACTTTGCAATTACATTGTAAACAATTTTAAACTCCAAAAACAACATTTTAGTATAAATATTACATGTTGTTCTCTAAAAATTTCATTTTTTGTGTAGAAGATATAATAAGAATATTAAGTTTTATATTTTAAACATAATATTTTGGGAAGGTTCAGAGTCTAATAAGGTAATTTTATTTTTAGACTCTAGAAATTACATTGCAAACAGTTTTTGACTTTGAAAACAATGTAAAATCTACAATTACGTTATTTGTAAACAATTTTAGACTTCGTAAACATTTTAGACATTGGAAATTACCTTGTAAGTTATTTTAGAGAGCGAAAACAATATTTTAGACTCTGAAAAGTACGTTATAAACAACTTTAGACCTCGAAAACAACGTTAAATAGACTCTAGATATTAGGTTTTAAACAGTTTTGGACTCCGAAAACATTTTCAACTCAGCAATTAAGCAGTAAACAATTGTAGACTACGTATACAACATTTTAGACTTTAAAATTTACATTTAAAAGATCTTTATACTGCTAGAACAATATTTTAAATAAAAGTGACATTTTTACAATGTTGGCATTTTGAAATGATTTTGTTTACTGTTAAAAAAACTTTCAAAAGCAATAGGCTCCGAAAACAACATTTTATGTAAGGAAAACAAAATAAGAATATTTTGTTTTATATTGTAAACAATATATTTTGAACATGTTCAGACTCTAACAAGGACATGTCTTAAATATGTTTAGTGTCCAAAAATAACATTTTAGACCTTGAAAATTATGTTTTAAACAATTTTAGATTTCAAAAACAACATTTTAAACTCTGACAAGTACGTTATAAACAACTTTAGACCTCAAAACCAACTTTATAGACTCTGGAAATTAGGTTTTAAACACCGAAAACAGTTTTGACTCTGCAATTACATTGTACCCAAATGTAGACTACGTATACAACATTTTAGACTTTAAAATTTACATATAAAAGATCTTTATACCTCTAGAACAATATTTTAGACCCTAAAAGTGACATTTTTACAATATTTACCTTTTCAAATGATTTTTTATACTGTTAAACTTTCAAAAACATTCGACTCCGAAAACAACATTTTATATTATGAAAACAAAATAAGAACATTCTGTATTCTGTTTTATGTTGTAAACATTATATTTTGAACATGTTCATACTCTTAAAGACGTCTTAAATATGTTTAGTGTTCGAAAATAACATGTTAGACTTTTGAAAATTATGTTTTAAACAATTTTAGACTTCAAAAACAACATTTAAAATTTTGAAAATTACGTTGCAAACATTTTTATACTCTTCGAAAACATTTTAGACTCTGCAACTTCAGACCTCGAAAATATTTTAGACTCTGGAAATTACGTTGCAAAGAGTCTTAGATTCCAAAAACATTTTAGACTTTGCAATTTCGTTGTAAACAATTTTAGACTCGGAAAACATTTTAGACATTGAAAATCACATTTTAAGATCTTTATACCAATAGAACAATATTTTAGATTTTAAGAATAGCATTCTAACCATCTTAAGCATCTAAACACATTTTGTATACCATTAAAAGAACACTTTCAATAATTTTAGACCCCAAAACAACATTTTAATCTCTGATAATTTCATTTTATATTGTGAAAACAGAATAAGAATAATCTGTTTTATACTTTAAATATATTTTGAACAGATTTAGACTCTAAAGAGAACATTTTAAATATGTTTACTCTCCGAAAGCAAAATTTTAGACTGTGAAAATGATGTTTTAAGTAATTTAAAACCCCGAAAACAACTTTTAGGACTTTGGAAATATGTTGTAAACAATTTACGTTGTAAGCAACTTTAGACCTGCAAACAACATTTTAGACTCTAGAAATTACGTTGCAAGAAGTCTTAGGTTCCAAACATATTTTAGACTTTAAAATTACGTTGTAAACAATTTTAGACTCCGAAAATGTTTTAGACTTTAAAAATCACATTTTAAAGATTTTTTTTTATTACTATAACAACATTTTAATTTCTGAAAATTACATTTTATATTGTGAAAAAAAAAATAGGAATATTCTGTTTTATATTTTAAACAGATGTTGAACATGTTTAGACTCTAAAAAGACATTTTAAATATGTTTAGTCTCCGAAAACATTTTTGATTCTAAATATTTTTGGACCCAGAAAATAATATTTTATATTGTGACAATTATGTTGTAAACAACTTTAGTCCCTGAAACATTTTAGGCCCTGTGTTGTAAACAGTTTTAGACCCCAAAACATTGTAGACTCTGCAATTATGTTGTAAACAATTTTAGATTTAGAAAACAACATTTTATGCTCTAAAATTTACATTTTATATTGTGAAAACAAAATAAATGTAAATTGCTTTACACTTTAAACATTATGTTAGGAACATTTTAAATATGTAGTCTCCGAAAACAACTTTTTAGACTGTAAATTACGTTGCAAGCAATAATTTAGACTCTGCAATTACGTTATAAACAATTTTAGACTGCGAAACAATATTTTATGATCTGAAAATAGAATTTAAAACTCCGGAAACAACATTGCTGAATATTAAAATTACATTTTAACACTGTGAAAGTATTTTTTTATACCAGGGGTTGTAATCTCACTTACATGGTTTTTCTGGGAAATGTTTTTGTTCTTCAAGCCATTCTTTAACTTCTTTAACCGCTTTCGCTAAATCTTCCAAGGATTTATCAATGTTTTTCAAAACCAGCTTTTTGGATTTTACATCCATTGCTGCATAGGAATCCACCTCCATCTCTCAACTATTTTAAGTGGATAGAAAGACAAATATATGGAACTGATTAAATGATTAAACAAAAAATAATTCTTTTATAATATCCCGGAACAAGTTTCGATAAAACTTTATTTAATCAGTTAGTAGTTTTATCAATGGTTGATAGCAAAGATTTAATACGTATATTTTTTTAGATTAATTCTAATTCTTTGATATAAATCATTCAATTGATCAACAAATAATATTTCTGTACATTATAAATTTGTATATTTGAAATGGTCCCCAGTTGATTGATCATAATATACGAATGTGGCGCTCCAGATTTCCTTTAGAAAATTCCAGACAATCTTTGACTAAGAACCAGCATAGTTGTTTTTATAAGGCTCGCTAACAATCTTTGGTGGATCCTGCATATTTTAGAGTATAACTTTATTTCGATGCGATGATGTGCATGGGCGTATCATAGGGGTTTCGGAGGTAGATTTGTTTTATCGAATATTCTTAGTACCGAGAAAAAATAGATGCCGTAAAACAGTGGTCGCCAACCTCTCAATGTGTTGAGCTACTTTGTTAATTTTGGAATAAACAGCGAGCTACCCACACGGAAGCCACGTAACGCAACGTAAATGAAATAATCCACAGTTAATTTATCATTATATGTATTTATTTTACTATTTAACTGGTAATACATAATACATAGGTACTAATAATAAACTATTAACAAAATAACTAATATTACTAGTACGTACTTGTTCATAGCTACATTCCTACCTACCAAACGAAGGTGTTTGAAAAATAAACACAAACTTTTATCCAGCCACAACGGCATGTCACGTAAGATTTAAAAATAGTTAATAATAACAACAAAAAAGTAACGCACTATTATGAACATAAACATTGAAAAATAAAAAAGCACGTTCAATGAGAAGGCTGACACTCAGACTCATCGATAATTTTTTTAATGTTTGCAGTATAATTTGATACAGCCATTCGAATACAATTATCCAAATGTTCATTTGTAAGTCGATTGCGATATTTGTTCTTAATAAACTTCATATTGGAAAAAGAAGATTCACACAAATAGGTTGAACTGAATAATGCTTTCACTTTCAAGGCAACACGGCATAGAACTGAATATTTGTCTTTACTTACAATAAGCCAGATACATGTGGTACTTGAGACTAACGATTTTAAGGCTAAATCATTTTGAAACTCAATTACTTCCATTTCTGTTGCAGCGATGTCTTCGCCAAAGTTCTGCATAACACAAGTTGCAAACTGTTATTCTTCAGGGTAGAAACTATTTCTACATGACATTTGCTGTCATTGGTTCTAAAGGATTTTGAGATATTTTTTCTGAAAGAATAGGAAAATGCTTGGCATCGCTGTTAATTAGGTTTTGTTCCCAAAACTCCAGCTTTTTGATAAATACTTTTATATCAGAAATCATTTCCGCTAGTTCTTTGTCTCTCCCCTGAAGCTGCAAATTAAGTTTGTTTAATTTCTCTGTAATGTCCACGAGAAAACCAAAATCTCTAAGCCAAATTGAATTTTCTAGTTCCGGAGTCGGTTCATCGCGTTGTTTGAAAAATTGAACTATGCCAGATAGGACATCATTAAAACGTTTCAGCACCCGTCCTCTACTTAACCATCGGACTTCAGAGTGAAGGAGTAGGTCCCCGTATTGACAGTCAACTTAATCGGCCAAGGTTTTGAATAATCTTCTTTGTAACGCTTGAGCTCTAATCTTGTTCACAATTTTTACCACCAGTTTCATAACGTTGTTTAGTTTCAGGAAATTTCCACATAATGCTTGCTGATGGATAATGCAGTGGTAACAGAGAAATTGCGGAAAAGTTTCATCTTTACGACATAACGCCACCAGACCCTTATCACAACCCACCATAGCTGGAGCGCCATTGGTTGTCAAGGCTACCATTTTCGATATTGGAATTTTTTCGGAAGAAATAATATTTTTTAAATGAGAAAACAACTCCTGTTCAGTAGTGTGTCCTTTCAGTGGAATAAACTTCAAAAGATCTTCTTTAATCGTAAAATCACTAAAAACGATCCTGACGAACACAGCCATCTGGGCAGTGTCAACGACATCTGTTGATTCATCCAGTTGAAGTGAAAAATAAACACAGTTATCTAAGTCAGTTCTTAACTGTAAAAAAATATCATTGCTCATTACTTCTACACGTTTCATCACTGTATTAGCAGAAAGTTGCATAGATTTTATAGCTGAAACTATCTCATCTTTATTTCTAAAGTTGGCAAATAACGAATCGGCAGCTTCTAAAAACGCCTATTTTATCATTTCCCCGTCTTCATAAGGTTTCTTTTTTTGTGCAATTATCTGGGACACACGGTACGATGCTTCAGTTGCGGCCTTATTTTTGTCGACTGTTCTTAAAAATATTGATTGTTGTCCAATTAACTGCTTTTTTAACTGTTTCAGTTTCTCCTTTCTGGCGGCAGAATGAAGTGGGAATGATTTTTCAAAATTAGAATGGACAGTTTTATGATGTCTCTCAATATTTCCTTTTTTAGCAACGGAGACCGAAGTATTACATAACAAACACACATTTTTATCTTTAACTTCTGTAAAAAAGTATTGTTCTTCCCATTCCGAATGAAAGTGGTATGTCTTTACCTTCTTACAACTGCTTGCCATAATATTATTTTTTGTTGTTCTCTACTAAACCAACCGCTGGACGTTGGTTACGCGTTCAGTTTTAAACTAAGCGCAATGACGCTGCGCCGTGCGTATTTATCCCTTTCAAAGCAATCCTGATCGCTCTCGAACACTAACGCGCTGGTCCGGCTGGTCGGTTCTAGCCGATTCTAGCTTGATGGTAGATCGCTCACCGCAACGTTGCCGCTGTTTATGTTTAATATTATGACAATTAGATTTTTTTGTGGAATTTTGGGAAGCTTCTCTGATTTTTGCAGTTTGTATTTTTTAAATTAAAATCGTTGTTAGAGTTACCAGAATTGCCTCCGCGAGCTACCAGTAGCTCGCGATCGACAGGTTGGCTACCACTGCTCTAAACACTTTCTAAAATATTTATAAAAGTTCAAGAAATGTTAATAGACTTTATCGGGGAGAAATTCACAAAATTTACAAAGCGCCTACTACGCTGTATGGTTGAAAAGTGTCCCTTTGACCCTATTTGGGGTTTTTGACAAAATTAATTTTCCTTCAAAACATTCTAAGGTACAGCCACTTACGTTTTTTAATCGGACACCCTTTACATTATGTTTTATTACACTAATTTTCTAACCTATTTTAAGTGCTATTTTCTTAATAAATATACGTCAAAAGATTCTCTAAAAGTTAAAATCAGTTTCACCCTAAACTATGAAAAAATGGCAAGGGCAGGATGGAAATCGTTCGAAATACGTTCATGAATGTTCAATAGGGAATTAAATGCATTTTTTATGGTGTTATTGGTAACAGCCATTACGTAAATTTCACATTTTCATGGAACCCTCTCAGAGCGAAAATAGGGGTTGATTGATGGAAAATCTATTACTGTGCTCATTATAAATTAAAATCTCCAAACGGAAGGTAATGGAAATTAATTTGATATTAAAAATTCAATGGTATTGAAGTGCAGACCTACAAACATCGAAAGAATGAGTGATGATTAAATACCTATAAAGAAAATATTAAAATTTTCTAGTCTTTATACATAGCCAAATTGTTTTTGTTTTCCATATTACTTTAATAAATGCATTTATGAAGAATGTTAATATTATTTAACAGTTATACAAAAAGATCTATTTCTTTATCCTGCATTAAAATAAAATATGTGACATTTATAAAGTAATGAATCGTTTGATAATTTGACAAGGTATTTTGTCTTTTATATCACGGTGATTCATCATTATTACTGAACCGTTTTCAAATAAAATTTAATTAACGCAATCACTGTCGATGGAAGAAGCCAAAGCCGCTACGTTTGTACAAGAAAACCATTTCATTACGTACCGAGGGTTTCGCCCCCAGGAAAATTTCATTTAGGTAATGGAGATGCATGCATACGTCGCCCAAACCCTCCTCCATCTGTCGGTGAATACGAAATACCTACTTGATGAATAATCGAATAACACGTATGAATTTAAATAACATTTTTTATTATTAGGTTTTTGTTAAATGCTTTTTTATAATTTATACTTACATATTCAACTTCGCTCATATCCCATTTAAAAACAAAAAAGATATGGACATAAAATATACGTAGTTCTAGAAAATCCAGTAGAGGTCGTTAGTAGGATGTTTAGCATTTCAACAACAACTTGTATCCAACTCGAAGACTGGCCATTAGATGATTGATTAAACTTTTGACAGATTAGAAAAGCTTCAAAATAAAACTAGACGGACAAGATAATCTTTCAGTACCACTAAGAACTGAAGACCAACTAGATAACGAGGTTGAATTATTAGTTATAAACAAAGACTTCTTCAACTTGTAAATATCGAGGCAATCCAGCTCCTAGACGACACAAACCCATTTATTTTATGAGTAATACTTTCTTTCATCTTTGTAGGTAAACGATATAAATAATTATAGTCTATTTTTATGTATGAGAGAGTATTAAAATAATAAAGCGTTCGTAATCCATAGTACCACTTCTTTTAGTAGACAGTTAACATATTTTTTGAAGTTATTCCTCGAGTATACACTTATATTTTCACCTAATTAACCTAATTATAACTTCTAAACAGCTGAAGGTAAAAAAGTGTAATTTTTTCTAAAATGTTTTATTTTTCCACAAGGTATGTTAAGAACATTGTGTCAAACGGGTTATGTAGATATAAGGGTTTAAACTTTTTTTAAACAACGTTACGTTCATAAATAATAATTTTAATATAAAAACTACTTCTTACCTACAAATCCAAATCAGAATCGAAATCAGAAGATGAACTGTCGCAACCAATATTTACAATGAGTGGCTCGATCATTTCATCAGTAATATTGTCCAATTTCCACATTTTCTCTTCTTCTTTAATCGTATGATTTACTGCCTTTTCCCAGTTTTCAGGCTTCACATTATTTACAGTCTCCAAAAACAACTGTTTAACATCACTCATTTTAAAAGAATTATTTTTTCTTGAAACTT